TTTCTTAAAAAATCATCAATAAATGTGATAAAGTACCTTATTCCTCTAATTGATGACATCCTCATTGGTCTAAAAATATTAGAATGTATAATCTCCAATAATTTAGATGCATGTGTTGGAACTCCTCTTAGAAATGAAGTCTTTTGTTGTTTGCCTTGAATACAATCTTTACAAATAAGTGTCATGGTATTGTCACTGAATTGACCAAGATCCAAGCTACTTTCTATAGATTGAAGCTTCTTTATGTTTTTGGCATTCAAATGATCAAGTTGTTGATGCCAAATTCCAAATTTGTCCTCATTTTGTGGAAAGTAAATAAATGTCACTACTTCAATTTGATTCATCTTCTTATAATTGATGAAGTAGAGGTTGCCATTTTTTAGGCCTTTGGCAACATATTATCCATTCAATATCTTCACAAAATATCTATTCATATCATATTGAACCTCACAACCATATAATATAACTTTACTTACCAAAAAGAGGTTCTTCTTTACCTTTGGTACATATAAAACTTCCTTCAATTTGATTCTCTTTATTTTGTTCTTAACAATGATTTCTACTACAATAGAGCCAATTCTAATGGCTTATACCATGCCATTGTCTCCTAATCAAATATTTATAGCTCAAATTTCTTTATAAGTGTCAAATGAATATTTATATGGTATCATGTGCTTAGTAGTACCCAAATTTATAATCCACTTACACATGGCAACCATGGAAGCTCTTTTACTTGCCATAAAAGTATAATCATCTCTATCAAAACTATCACTAGCATTGTTTGCATTCTCTCTATCTCTTTTCTTCGCTTTGTAATAATTCCTAGTAAAGTAATTTGATTTTTTATAAATATAATAATTTTTCATACTATTTTTTAAATTATGACATTGGTAAAAATAACTACCTTTGTTTTATTTTAAAAATAGAGCCAAATCATCATTTTGAAGTTTTTTTTTTTTTTTTTTTTTTTTTTTTTTTTTTTTTTTTTCCTCTCTCTTGGTTACTTTATAGACAAGTCTTGCTATAATATAATTCATAGTAAGCTCCTTCATATTGATAGATTTCAATGCTATAATGAAATAGTTATAAGATTTAGAAAGGCTCATGAGGAATGTTAACACAATGTCCTTATCATCAACTAGCTTGTCAACAACTATTTGTTGATTTGTAAATGCTTTTATCTTATTGATATGAGCAATGAAATCATCTCTTTCTTCCATCTTTATTGTTAAGAAGTTTTTCCTTGTCCATAGAATGTTGGCAAGATTTTTACTTTCAGAGATGTTATAAATAATCTTTCATATTTTTATTGGTCCATTGCAAGCAAATACATGTAAAAAATTGGCTTCATCCAAATTTTATGCAATCATGTTAAAAGCCTTTCTTTCATAATATTTGTACTCTTTCTTCACCTTGATATCAACTTTTTCGCTTGGAGGCTCTTTACTTTTATCAAGAATATTCCAAAGATCTAATAAAGCCAACAAAAGTTCTATTTTCTTCTTTCAATAGTAAAAATTATTACCTCTAAACTTCTCAATTATTTTCAAACCTTCACCTTTACTTAAAACCATGTCTAATGAAGAGGTATATCAAAAAAAAAATCAAGAAAAGAGAAGATAAAGCTTTCTAAATAAACAAAAAGATCTTGTTATCTTGGATATCTAAAATGCCTTTTTTTATAAATAAACTAGTGATTTCACTCTTTAATAACTTTCAACTCTAATAAATTTACTTCTAATTTCACAAATATCTTCTTATCACTAAAAGAAAATCTCTTAACAAATTCAACATACAAAAGCACAATACTAGTCCATCAATGATATAATTCAATAAAAAAATACAAGACTAATAATTTATAACATCATTTTAAGGTGATTGATATCTTCTAAGACAATGAATGCATTTAACAATAAGTTACAATAAAACTACATCAACAACTAGATACAAAAGAGAATTTAGAAGATATCAAATCCTAATATCAGCAACAATCATAAGATCTACTCCTCACAACAAAAAAGACTTCAAAGAACCTCAAAACTCACAACTAAAGATGAGTGGGCCTATAATCTATTGAAAAAAAAGAACTTTGAAGTTACTAACAAATAACATCAGTAAGATTGCTCAAAAAGAGAATACGGAATAAGATATCTCTGACTTCCAACATCGATTACTTATATGAAGTAGCTGCTACCTTAATGAACAACTTTCATTCTTTGATGAATACATCCATTTAATATTTTATTGAGACTATTAATTACTATTTTATCTATTATAAAAATATATTTTTAATATATTCTCTATATCCTTAAGATCCTTTGTCCATTCATTTACTTTATTCCTTGGCTTTCTTATATATCAAAAGGTAATCTTTTAACCAATAACAACTTATTTAAAGTAATATCCTTTACTAGATAACTTATTCTACTTTCATATTTACTTATTTATTTTAATAAATACAATGTGGTCCTAACTTCTAGTACCAATTATCTAACTATGTTGTCTCTTTTTTCACCAATAGAGCACCATTGTATGCCACTACAATCTTTAACTACTAATTTGGCAAAAATATTATTTATGTGCTCTCAATATTCTTACTTATAGACAAATAAGGAGCTATATTATCAAAATATACTTGTGAATTAGCAATGTTGATAGGACACAAAATATCTTGCAAAAAAAAATTTTGTAAGAAAATCTTTTGAGCAATTATTTTTCTCAAATCTTTGGCCAAAACAACAAAGACATATTGAACTTGTAGCTCTTTAGTTGAATGCCATTTTAAGCAAAATAATTACTTAGATTTTTTAACCTAAGTATATTTAGGATCCACTATCCTTTAATTATTATTTTTTGATCTTAGAGTAAAATAATGGTCATTAAAATGCTCTTGAGCAGCAAGCCATATGCCAATAATCCACGCTAAAGTGTTGAAGTTCATAATTTTGTCCTAGAAGAAAATAAAATTTTCCTTCTATGATATTATGAGCAACTATGGTGCTAGTTAAAAAGTCCATGGCATGTTCCCTCTCATTTGTATTAGATTCTTTATAAATTTAAGAATTAACATCTCAAACCATGCTAGGTCTACGTGCCCAAAATTCAAATGATGCTAGAAATGTTATAAATGTAGGAAATGAACTACGAGGTGCTTCTAACTTATTGAATAAGGCAAGATGAAGCTCATTAGCTTTTCTAACAACCAATACAATTTGATTGTCATCTAAGATAAGATATCATTAATCTTATATTAATAAAATTATTTGACTTTTAAAAATATTGTTATGAGTACCTAAGTTAAGGCCAAGTTAGTCCAAATTCAATGTAGTCAATGGACATAAAAGTCCAAAGTTGTAGCATCAACAAAGTATGGAAGACTCAAGAGTTGGTGAATATATTAACTATACTCCAAAATTTGTGCTCAAGTGTCACCTTAGAAAGGTACATTCTTAAAAATATATCCAAGTGGTGTGGTTTGATGCGTAAACTACCATTGTGTAAGCCACATTAATTTTGTAAATAAACTAGATCAAGGATCATTCAATCTTCAACCTACTTCAACATATGGATGATCTTCGTAAGGCCATTTAATAAGTAATAAGTCAATATGGCCTAAGCTCCTCAAATCCTCATTATTAATAAAGATGATATTTTTAATATTTTTAAAAAATATCCATTTTTAAAATTTATTTGATCAACTTACAAATGCCATCGCTTCTTATTTTGTTTTGAAATATGCTCATGAAAAATAAAAATATATTTTAAAAATTATCTAAATAAATTATATATAAATATACATTATATTTCAAAATTTATTATATTTTAGATATATAAAAGAAAAATGAGGCGGTTATACTCTTGAATAATATTATCATGTTTGGAGTGTAATTATCAATAAATAATATTAATATAGGAGTATTTATACCATGCTAGTTTTTACAAAGAATGAAATACATGTAGGTCTTAAAATAAAGTAATATTATCAAAAAATATTAAACAAATTTGGAACTTTGCACATTATCTTAAACAATTTAGTTAACAGAGTTGAAGATTCTAAAATATTATAACATGTTTGATAATGGTTAGTAGAAATAATAAGTTAGTAGGCCACTAATTTAGTAAGAAAGCAAAGATATAGAATTAGTGATAAGTAATAATTGTTGAATTTTGTTGATAGCATTAGCAAAAGTTGTTATATATCTTATAATTTTGATATATCTGCTTCATTGTCTTGATTTGCTCCAACATACTAAATTTTTTGTTTAATTTTTGACCATATTTGAACTTATTTATTAAAATTTGTATTAAGTACCAAGTTATATATTAAGTACTGAAGCTAACTGTTGCATTTAATACTTTGTGACTTGTTAAACAATGATATGATTTTTCTTTTAGGTTGGACTGTTGTACTTAATTCAAACAAATATACTCTCATGCTTTACACCAAGTAATACAATTGTAGGTAGGTTTGTTGTTGTTGACAAAAGAATAAACTATAAACTTAAAGACAACGATACAGTAAGATTGCATTTGCAAGTGTTACAATACGAGGCTACAATTGCAGAGTTGATGGATAAATTGATGTTGAAGGATGCAATTGACTTGTAGTACCAAGATTCATATCATCTTTGTACCAATCTTGCAGAGTGATTATATAGTAATTTTATTTGTATTTTTACGATTACAGTGGAACTCCTAATTTGTTAAAGTGTTTTAAATTTGTGCATTTGTATGATCTTGTCAAGGGTCCACCCTAAAATTATTATCATCTTTTATTTTATCTCAAGCAATTTTTCTGTTCCTAATTATCTCATTCAATTCCTTTGGAGGGTATGCGACACTTACCTGAGTTCTAATTTGATTGGTGTTTAGCCTGCGTCGTACTGTGACAGATAGGACAGTTAAGTTGCCAAGGTGGCAGAGCTCACACTGCATGGAACGCCACGTTGCAAGTCTCAAGGGGCACGTTCGTTCCCCTGATTATGCACTTCGCTCCCCAAATCAGATGCCCTAAACCCTGAGGCCCTGCCGTGGCTGTGAGCGACTCCGCTGCACACTCGTACCGCCTTAGCGTCGGTTTCCTCTCACCTGTATCGAAATTCGAGAACCCGCAATTTCCAATCTGACACACCCTTGATTCGCACTGGAATTCACTTCGTTTGATAGGTTGGGCAAGTTTTGTTTCCCGATCGATGTGAGTTGCGTTGTTTCGCTGCGTCGAATTCTATCTCCCTTTTTACATTGCGCAGGAGAAAGACTGATCGTGGAACTTGGTGCTGTGACAATTTCTAAGGTGAGATGACTACTCTTTTTTTCTTTTTTTTTTTTCTTTTTTTTTTTGTGATAGGGCGTTGATTTTGTTTGAACTTGTTTTTGAAATGCCCTTCTGGAAGTTCCGTGCCTCTGATACTTCTCGTGAAGGTTTCTGGAATTTGTTGCTTTTTTCTAGATGACGTTGAGAACCATGCTTGCTTTGAGTAAGTGATTTGTATTGATTTCTTTTGACTCTAATACAAAGGTCTAGGCTGCTGTGGTGAGCTCAAGTGATTCTATTTTGGAGGTCTTTGTAATTCCTCGTACTGGCTGTGGTGTACAGCATTTGTGCGTCTATTATGCTTCGTTTTTCCATCAGCTCGTCTTAAGTTTTTGGCACCAACTAGACTTGATAACAGCATGGCATCCCGAGAAGCTTTGGAAGAGTCTAAGAATCTCGACTCGTCTCTTTACCATGCACCTACTTTGCGTCCCGGCATTGGTTCCCCTCGTTGTCCACGCTGCTCTGCACCTTTATCGAAGGATCTTGTAAGTCTCAACCTCGATTGGTGCTTTAAACATAGCCAAGCGGCCATGAACATTTACATTCGTAACTAATTTCCGCATGATCTGGTTAGGGAGCAATGTTTTTCTCATCGATAGCTTCAGATTTCAGCAATTTTTTGTGAAGACCCTATCAATGAACCATAATTCATAATATTAATTTCCTGAGCTCTTGGAATTATTGTCTAATGAAGTAAATAACCTTAAAATTAGTTGCTACAGTTTTAGTGATCTTTTTATTGACATCGTTCAGAATTAGCACGCTTGTTAGTTATTTTTCCTCTTATGCCTGCCTTTGCTGATGGATTGTGACTGCAGCAAGCGAGTGGGTGGACCATCGCTCCATTTATGCGAGAAAGTTTTGCCATGGTAAATCAACCGTTCCAATTGAGCAACATGTGCTGTTTTGTATTGTGAACAATATCTCGCGTCGTTGTTGTCACTGTCCCATGCACAAGGTGTCGAGAAGGAACAGGTGAAATTTGGAGAATGACAGGCTTAGGCAGTAGATTGCAGTATGAATAAATGTGGATTGGAAGCAGCGAATTCGGTGCGCTGCGACGATTGTGAGTCACGTGGTTTGAATAGAGGTTTCGGTCCTCCGCACGCGGCATTTGCGCCTGCCGTGACGCCGTCGCGCCGAGTCAGTGTGGGATCGAATATATTTCTATTGTGGCTGAATACGGCAATGTGCACCTTAATAATCTGTGCACAGTTTAGGTATGTCATGAAGTTCTGAATGTAAATAGTGTATGCATTTTTTTTTTTTTTTTTTTTTTTTTTTTTTTTTGTAGATATGTTTTCATTTGTACATCGCATATGGTTTCAGGTTGGAACTGCAGCAGGAGGAACTCTCTCTAGCTTTTATGCATTTAACGCAGGTATGCACTCACTTAAATTTGATTTGCTCTTCAAAAAGAGATTTTTCTGAAGCATTCATGACGTCCATCAACATCCCTCATTCTGATTGCAGTGATGCCGCACGTTAAGAAGAGGGTTGGGGGACCAATTTGGTGGCAGTTTGTTGTGGGGGTATTTACCTCGTTTACCTCTCTACTGTGTCACAAATGGATTGATAGTATTCATTTCTTTGCAGCAATTGATATGTAGTTCTCTTTTTGCGTTCAGTTCAAATTTCACTTCTCTTTTTGATTTTTAATTTTTACGATCATATTTTATTTTGATACTTTAAACGATGTACATACATGTATGTATGTAGTTTCACACACTCACCCACTCTCATTGACAAGTGATATTCGTAATCAATTCATTATCTCATCCTGGGGCTTGGGTGTGGGTTGAGTATTGTTTGCAGCTACCACCAGTATTAGTGTTTTCAGTCGGATGCGCCGGACTTGCTGGTATCTTAAATCTCTACTCCCCTTGTATCATTTATCTGATAGTTCATAACTGTTTTTGTAGCTTTTAGATATTGATTGGACTGCGTATTATTCTGGCACTAAGTAATGTTTGTGTCCCTACTTTTCACCAAACAACTGCAAAGTTATCCTTACGAGAAACATCACTGAAAATATAACATTGTTTGATACAGGTGGCGCACTGCCTGCACTTGCTCAGTTATCAGTGTCTACGTATCATGCTGCGTCTGCACAATCACACTCGGCGATTTCTGCAATAACCATGAGAGTAGAGGAAAGAGGGACCAATGCCCTGATGCCGCAGTCTTCAAACCAAAATCCCTCCCAATCTCCTGTCAATCATAAAAGCTAATTCAACCCCGTCTTTCCTTCTTCTAGTTTAATTCTGAATGCCTCTGCTTGGTCAACTGAGCTGAAAGCAAGTGTGATGTCTTTTTCAGACAGCATGTCACGAAATGCACAAAGGTAAGTGCCATGACATTGGAAATGAGGGTCCTTTGTTGGCATGGCGCGATGCAACCCAACATTTCTTCCATCAGCTTAAGGAATACGAGATCCCCTGCATGCATGCTTTTTGTGGATATGAACCACATAAAGTGATGGGGCACTGCGATGTGCCGCGAATCTTTGCATGATTCTTATTACCGACATTCTATCCTCATCCTACTGTTGCCTACTGTTGACCTAGACATTTAGTCACCTGTGTGCAGGCCAGTTTCTCAATCAATTTGTACTTTTGCATGTGGTATTACAACACTTCTATTGTAAAAAGCCCCGTGAATTTATAAAACAGCAGGATCATCTTCTACATACAGATAGTAGACTCCTCTGTCGGGGTTGTGGCTGATTTCCTCCAGTTTATTTCTCTTTTGAGGAATATCTTTTTTGCGTCAGACAAACGATGTTCAGATTACAAGCAAACAGCTTCAATCATCCAATGAATCGCATTCATTCGAACATATTCGTCTTAAATACTGGATTCATATGGGCCGAAATTAGTACCAACTACCACTGCTCCCAGTTGAGGGTATTGGGCTGTCCGTGGGCCAGAGCACAGATAGTGTTTTCGGAATTTGTGACGATGTATTGCTACCTTCACAGGGATATCATAGGAACTGTTATGCATTGGACACGCAGAATTGTTGCCATTTCATCGCTATGCACAAGCAGTATACCTCAGTTAGCACCATCTCGAACCACCGACAGGATAGAAAATGATCGCGACTGCACTATTCAATGTCATGAGAGATCTGCATGGAATTCCATCTGAATCGCCGTGGCTACCGCCGGCTATGACTAATATACCAGGTAGTGTGCTTGACTTACATCTATTGCTCTTTACCAGTTTCCCTATGTTGCGAGTATCAGTTTATATCGTGCAGAGTCCGGATGTGACACATAGGCCCGATAGTTGCGAGTTGTGAGCAGTGCAGGTTTTCTGCTTCTACTGGTTGGTAAGCGTCAAAAAATGACTATATTTGATTTGGGAATTGGTTGTCGATAGACGTTGTGTTTTGGAAAAGATATGAGGATTATTTATTTTTTGCTTTGTGTGCAGAGAAGTGAATTGTGACTCAATTGAGGTGTGATTGCTCAAATAGCTTATGTAGGCGAGTGGTTAACGATGAAAACAATTTCATACGACCCCGATAAATACTTTCTCCAAGCTGCACTGCAAATTAATGATTAGTATGCAGTAGGCTACTAAGCACTGGAACTCCTACCAAAGTTGCGTTTGCATCTAGATGCCAAGATCAAGCATGATAGGTGACAAAGGGCATATTGTGGGTCGCACATTCCACGAACTATCTCTCCTTGAGAATGTGAGTGACGAAGTGTTGATTTTTAAATACTGATGTATTAATTGTCTTCTGAGTTTTATGCATTAAGCATAATAAGCATTAATTTGAATTCAGATCTCATGCTCATTTCGAGATTTGGTACCCGAAGTGTGATATCAAAATTGATGCCCATGTTCTGCTAATCTAGAAGTAGCAGAGATTACCGAATTACTCAACTTTAGCATGGTTGGACGACATGCATGTCTCATCTCGACTGAGGCACCTTATCACTATTCTGTCGACTTTACGAACCTTTCCTTGAAATTTTTACATAGTTTTTTCATATGTCTCAACACCTATATGATGACTTACTTATGCTTAACCTGAACAGTAGCAAGCAAGTTGTGTAGGCAGCAGTATGACTTTGCTTGTCTTTTATTTGCATTAAGTAGAATGACAAGTATGCTTAATATTTAGGTGTCATCAATGCCTGAAAAAAGGGGGCTCCGGCTTGTGCTTCTTTAGTATTGGGATTGCTGTGAACGTGTACTGTATAGTTACTAACGTTATGTAGATCACTCTTTAGGTTATTGATGGTGATGAGTCTATCGACAGATCATTTTAAATTTGTCTTTAAACATCCGTCTCGCTCCAATAGATCTGGTAGAAGTAACTACTTTTGGAGTTACAAAGCGATCAGGACTAGACGATGACGATGTTAAGGGCACCCAGGTTTTATTTTCTTTCGTTTATTATTTTACGTTTTTTTTTTTTTTTTTTTTTTTTTTTTCAAATCGCATGATTTAATGCCCAATCCATATCATATTCGAACAGTCAACTTTCTCTGTATATTCAAAACCTTCGCAGCGAATAGGAAAAATTTAAGGTGTGTTTGTGCATATGCATATCCCATCATACTAGCAATCGTCGATTCAGGACTTTTGTTCTTAGTAATCCTCTTTGTCCAAGATTCTTGTTACTTCAGTGTGACCCGCTAGTGATCAATATCCGAAGATTTAATTTAAAAAAGATATCAATGCTTTAGTAGTTTTGAATCGACCTTATGTTATTTAAGCAGGTAAAGAGATCCTTCTATTCCTCACAATCCGAAACAGTATCAGGAGTTCAATTGGAGGATAAAAATTTGATTTGAATTTGCCGATTTGACTCTCTGCAGGTAAGCTATCTGCCTTGGTAACGGATCCGAACCTGTCGCTTGATGACCTTCCCTACTTGACGCTTCTATTCTACCTCTAGTCACACCAAATTGCATCTCTCGGAACAGTGTTCCAACGCGCAATGATTTCTTGAATTCCTTAGCCTTGCCCCACGATCGTATTCAAGACAAAACTCCCTGTTCAATCAGATTCGACAATATAAAGAACAATGCTAGAGTTGATGTTGATCAGAAAACAATCATTCAAATTCGGGATAATCAACATCCTTCAATTCCTGTAGGAGTATCACGGATCGCAAATGTACTTCGATCACACACCTTTACTTGTCTTGCAGGAATCAGAGTATCATAGTGATCACTAGACTTTTCGGATTGCGTGGGGTTGGTTCATACCTTTCTCGAGGGACCCTACCATCCACCTTCCGAGAGTGTATTTAATCCTAGAACGATACTCTTTTGCCTCCAATTCAGATAGGAGGCAACTACTCTTGTGATTTTGCCATGGATCAGAAAATTGCTGGAAACCATGAATTCTTTAAGTCGCACAATTGCAGATTGTAGTGAAATGGCTTCGACTTTTACTTCTCATGCAGCGTTTGCTTACCGATCTCTTCAGTTGTAAACATTGTCTTCCATCCGATTGCCAAATTCACATCGTATGCAGGAGCTTCCTGTGAACCAAAGTGTGTTTCTACATCCCTCGGTCTCAAGTCCAAGTTACGGACAAAGAAGTGCTCCAATACCTTCCTCTTCCATTATCAAGTCGTGCAATTCTTGTACTGACAGAGAAAGTATTGGAAGCCGTTTCCGTAGCTCTAAAACGCGTGCACCAATGCCACTGAATGCACTGACAATCCCAAGGTTGTAGTTCTATGATTCTTCTTTCCAATGACTAAGATTCCAAATCAAGTACCTCCACTTTCCATTCGGTTTTCTTTTTGTCTTCATGTTTTGTTTTTAAATGATTATATTGAAAAACCAAATCACAGTTGCTCATTTGTCTTGTAAAATCACAATGCTTGAACATTGAATATCTCATTCTAAATTTGATCTCTACCTCCCCCAGGCAAGCATTCCATACTATTTGTAGTTGTTCAATTCAACCCAAAATTGTGGAGCCATGAAAAATAATTGGTAAGTAGTGACAACAAACAGACAGATACTGGTTGTCAGAATGCATCCGCTCTTACTATGATTGGAGAATTATCTGCCCAAGGCGGTAAACTAATCAAACCTCGAAATAAAATCATCGAGAAATCCGGTTGTAAGATTGGCCACTTGTGGGGCGTGGAGGAACTTAGTATATGGATGCTGAGAAAAATAATATTAAATATTGAAAAAATAAGTGTGTATGTTGATTGATTCCACACCTTACAAAGTCGTGTAGGTCACAATGATACAGTTGCCTGGTTGGATTATACTATTCCAACAATAAAATCAACAGAAAAATAATGCCACTGGGAAAAAAAAATCCAAGCAGGGGTCATGTATTGGAGATGGAGGTCCTTTTCGGCTCCCGTCTCATCATGGATGATGTCATGATCTATGCAAAATACTCAGGCTGGGCCATAGATTAGAGTAAACCAAAGCACCATTAAAGTTCCACGGCATAGAATTAAACATTTTCGTCCCAATAGGATTAATCCACATGGCAAACAAGTGGGACGTGGCACTAAAGCGACACGATGGATTGAAGCTGGAGCCACAATGCTTCCGCCTTTGCTGTAACGTCCCAGAAGTTTCGGTGTCGCAAAGGCACCCAAAGAACAAGGCCATGGGCCTCGTCGACATTGACCCCAGTCAATCATCTGCCCTGTCGCGACATAATGCGAGAAGGTCCTTGTGCAGTCGACATGGTTGCAGTCGAAGCAACGATCCAATAGTAAGAGACCGAGATCGAGAGAGGGGGAGAAAGTGGGATAGCGTTGGGAAGCGTTGGAAAATCCGCGAGAGAGGGGGAGAAAGTGGGATTTTCTCGTGCTGTTCTATCTCAGAGTTCGTTGCTGCGTTGTCACCTTTATGGAGGTGGTTTGTGTCGCGAGGAGCTCTCGCAATCGCACTCCTGGCGCATGCTGACAAGCTGCATTGGAGTTGCTGCCCCAGCGTGCATTTTAAGATAAAAGTGGGCGTGCGCGGTGGAGCTTGAAGGGGAAGTTCACAGCTCCGGGCTTTAATTTGGACTGCTGTTCTGTTTCGCGGTCGCACATGGTCGAGGTGTGTGTGACTTTTGGGACGGCGTGCACTTAATTTTTGCTTCAGGCGATAGGTTTTTCTATGCATTGGGGTGATCGGGAAGAGATCTGACATAGGGCGATTGTGTGTGGGGATCAGCTGTAGGGTGGGGATACGATAGCATGCGAGGAGACGCGGTGTGATGTGAGTTTTCGGTGAGATTTGGGGTTGGTTTTGCTATATTTTTTCCTTTTAGTCACGCTTTCTGTTGGGACGACTTTGAACAAAACATAGCACATTGTGTGGTGACTTTTAGCCCATTCATACCACGCTTCGTCTATATTCTAGGTCCCTTTAATGATTTAGCCGCGAGATTTGATGCAATCACAGGTGCGCGATGCTTAGCAAGAAGAGAGAGAGAGAGAGAGAGAGAGAGAGAGAGAGAGAGAGCATTTGATAGAAAAAGTCCGCGTGGTTAATGACGAATATTAACACTTTTTGCAGATCAATTCACTGCGTCGAGGGCAGTATGGAGAAGGGTAGCACTTTACCGGTTGGCATCACTCAACTCCGAGGAGTTATTGCAATTTTGCAGTGGTGGAGTTTCAACGTACTGGTCATCATCATGAACAAGTGGATTTTCCAGGTTCGTAATTGTATTCTTGACACCTATGTTTTTTTCTGGAGCAAATTTCATGTACTTTTACGAGTCAGTTTACTTGACCGACCCTTTCATGAGCTCGGAATTCGATTGCTCACTCATCAAGCAAGAAAAATACGCTACCCGGATCAACCGGATGTTTAAAGACAAATATGGTGATTACTGTCGTAAATAGCTGGATATTAGGGTTATTGATTGTCTCAGTTCCTTGCTCTGTTTTTGTATACAATACTTTGCCATGTATCCCCAAAATGTAATTTGCGAGTTTTACCCTCTGAAACTGCATGCTATTTTAGATGAAAACTAGAAGATCAAGGTTTTAATTAGCTTGAGAGTGGGTTTAGAGCCCCTCATGCTGACTTTAGATTTCTTTGATTAAAATTTATTATTGCTAAGGATGGCCATAGCATTTAAATTGTTCTCATAGACAAGAACTGAGTAGCCCACCTGCATGGATTAACAAGGACTGGGTAACCTGCTGGTCAATTGAATCAGAAACTCGACTTCAAATTTCCGCTGACGGTATCGACTGTGCACTTTATCTGTTCGACAATCGGCGCCCATATAGCAATTAAGGTGCTGAATGTGAAGCCACTCATTGAAGTCGACCCTCAGGATCGTTTGAGGCGAATTCTACCGATGTCATTCGTCTTTTGTGTTAACATCGTGCTTGGAAACGTCAGCCTTCGTTACATACCTGTTTCCTTTATGCAAACCATCAAGTCCTTCACACCTGCCACCACAGGTATGCCGAATTGTTTTAAATTTCTGAGTACTTTGACTTGATGGATTTTTTTACTATTTTAAACAAAATTAACCTCCTAACTGCCGCTCCCTGTCATTTCCTCCACACCGGGAGATCACTATCTCAATGGTCGCTTTTTAATGAAGTCGATTTATGTGCGTTCAAGACATGTTCTAGTGCCCTTAATTGATGGCTTTATTTCAAAAGATTTTAGTTTCAGACATGCTTAATTAAAAATTCTCGTTTGTTGATTGTTGAAAATAACAGCGTTTGAGGTTGCTACATAGAAGTTATTTTGTGGTTACTTGTGTTCCAAAGAGGTGACGGGTACTTGGAAATTGCAGTGGCGCTGCAGTGGCTAGTTTGGAAAAAATCATTTGATCGACGTGTTTGGCTTTCATTGATACCCATTGTTGGTGGAATTGTGCTAACTTCCGTCACCGAGCTCAGCTTCAATATGGCTGGTTTCCTAGCAGCTTTTTTTGGCTGCGTCGTGACTTCGACAAAGACCATCTTGGCAGAATCCTTGCTTCATGGTTACAATTTTGATAGGTATTTTGATTTCAACACTACTAGCTGTACTCAGTAAGTCAGAAGGCTTACCACTGAATTTTTCTTCAATCTACCAGAGATCATGTGCATAATTAGAGTTCTACTGAACTTTTCCTCTGCAATTTTAGGTTTGACAACTGATGCGTTAACCTCTAATGCAGCATTAATACCGTGTACTATATGGCGCCATATGCAACCATGATTTTAGCCCTTCCAGCCCTTTTGTTGGAGGGTTTGGGCGTCGTGTCATGGATGGATGCTCAAGAATCACTGCTCGCGCCCCTTCTCATCATATTCCTCTCTGGAGTGTCAGCTTTTTGTCTCAATTTCTCAATATTTTACGTCATTCACGCAACAACGGCTGTGACATTTAACGTGGCAGGAAACATGAAAGTAAGACTTTTTGTGACCAGGAATTAGCCAAACTTAAAATTGCACTCAACTTCTTTACGAAGTGCAGAAACTAGTATTTTATAAGGTCATTTGTGTTGGTTCATGTCTTTCAGTAAAATCAACCTCTAGATTTGAAATCTGATGGTCGTAAATTTGATTTGCGTGGCGCAGGTTGCTGTAGCGATCGTCATCTCATGGCTCATTTTCAAAAACCCAATCTCTTTCATGAATGCGATTGGTTGCACCATTACCCTCTTAGGCTGTACTTTCTACGGCTACGTGCGTCATCGGCTATCGCAACAGGCATCAGTGAAGGCAGCCAGTACTGAACTGGAGAGCGTGCAACTTCTCTCTGTGGTGAATGAGGAGAGACCCAGCCGGCTGATTTGATGTTCCTGTAACTAGTTGGTTCTGTCTTGCTTTTTCTTTTCGTATATCTCGCTCTTCAGCCATTTTATTACGTCAAGTAAGGGGACTTCACGCTCCAGCACACTTCTCACTCTAGTGTGGGTTGTAAAGTCGTCTAGCAAGTTATACATGCGATTATTGTAATAATACCTCGAACTGGAATAGAGTGAACCTTCTTTCTTTGGTGCTTGGACATTATATTTTTCCTTTTATGGACAGCAATCACGGTACGTTCAAATTTTGCAATTTGCACATTTTGTATCCATGTTTTGAAATTTCTTACATTGTCGTTTTTGTTACACGTCTATACGAAGGTTTTTATGACAATGATCTTGTGGATGCAACCAGTTGTAATTTACTGTTCAAAATAGACGAGTTATGTACTGAAACCTGTGGGTTGACTAGTCATAGTCCATTCTGTACGGATGTTCTGGAATTTTCTTGGGTTCTGATTTCAATATGTTCCACACTGGTTAGAAACCTTACCAACTCGGTTTAAGAGCATGTTACTGAATGGAGGTCTGGATGGTTAATACCAGGCTAAAGAAGCTATTGGAAGCGAGATAGTGGACATCCTTAGAAGCCATCATCTCAATAGTGACCCTGCACAGCGGTTCATAGAAGATAATCGCACCATCCGAAGAAAGTGAAAGCAGCAGGTGACGATATACAGAGCTCCAGAGATGCTATTTCAAGACTCGTTTTGTTGCTGATGATGAAATTTCACCAGGTTCTCACTGAAATCGACCCACATCTTGCTGGCCTTAGATGTTTTCCGCGTCCGTTAGTTCGAGTTGAGTGAGATGCCTTAATAAAAGATGTAAACATTTTGGCAAACATTAACGACTAATACACAGGTACATTCTCCGGGCGGTTTAATAGGACACATGTCGCAAATTTCTAGCTGAATGTCACCCAGATCGATGCCGACTCAATTCTATTCATGGATGTCTAGGAACATGTCTTGCAATATGCAGACCTTTGGCCGATGCGGCTGGATATCCACCAGCCGACATACTCAAAAATAATTTTGCTAATGATAATGACTTGGGTAATTTTCTCCAATTGCGTTTCAGTTGCAAGCAGATCCGAGGAGATCATTCTGCCATTTCTGGTGACTATCCTAACCACCTCTTTCTACTATCTTAATCTGAATACCTTACCGTTCCGATCGGCAGAACTCTGATGTCCTAGCTGACGATTACATAGTGCTCACCACCTGAAGTCCAGCTGGGCAGCTCGAACTACCTCAAGCCCTTACGTCGGTCCATCTCCTCAAGAAGTACGTTAAGTTCCTCCAATTTTTGCATCCTCTGCCTCTCACTTTCTGTTACGATCTGAGGAAACAGAAACATTGGCAGTTGGAAGAGGTTACCCATTACGCTTCCATCGAAAAAATTAAAAATTAAAAATTAAAAATTAAAAAATTAAAATTAAAATTAAAATCTTCATGGCCAATAAATTTTCTGGTCTACTCCACTAGTATTTTTGAACTGATCTAGATGTTTTCTATTGAATTTGATGATCCACTGGATGATTACAACGTTAAGAAATCAAACGAGTAAATGGTTAGTCAGATGCTCACGTCCATCAACCTCCCAACGAGGTCAGTTTTGATCTTAGTTTTTTCATTGTAAGTTTCTAGTGCTTCTTTCAACTCCTTTTCCTGCAGAAGAGAAACAGGTCTAGACTTAGCTGCTGCTAAAAAGATTGAAACTGGAATGTGAACTTGTTCGGAAATTGTGCAGCGTCTACCTTCTTTTCACATATTTGTTTTAAGGGTCTCAACTCTCTGTCAACAACTTCAATCTTCTTTCTGATTTCTGCAACCTCTTGTTTAGTTGGATCCTCTAACCCTTCCAACTCCTGCAAAATTGCAATAGTCAACGAGGGCGTTCAGATGCCGATACACATTACACTCAGAGGCTTCGATAACCCAAAAGGTCACTACAGGAGGGGATTTAACAATTAGGGGATCCCCTGCAGTACTCAAACAACGGCGCCTACGCAGTTACAAGTGGGAAAGAGACGTTCCTACACTGAATAGGTTCATCCCATGTGTAGGATTCATGTCTGACAATAAACAGGAAGTTATCTTGAAGCATCAAAAAAAGGTAAATTTTTACTTATACCATGAAAAAAAACAAGAAAGAGACCAGAATTTCAATTAGTCTGAATATGTGGTCAGTGACTGCAGAAAATTGCATCATGAAACGGGGATGGAAAACTTACTCTTCGTAATTGATCAAGACTCCTAGCCTCGCTCTCCACGCGATTTAGCTGGGCCTGCACTTTCTCCCGAACCTGCGACTTCCGCTTCTCAATTTCCTGCTCCTTTGCGTGCACTATCAACGCCCAGGATCATTTTTCAGTGCATTTTGTAGGCAAATTCAACAAGAAATAAATCGCTAAACTGTGACTGGACTCAACTCAAACTAACATTGCTTGGAAATAGAAGGGTAAAATAAATTGTGCCTCGGAGATCCTCGGACGTACTCAGTGTATCAAGAAAAAAGGTTCTTTATTACTCATACTTCAGGAAAATATAATTTTAGCATGCTACACTGATCTAGTTAGAGTTAAACTACTCTCTGATTCAAAACATAATGCTACTAATTCCAATTGAATCAACTGACCTATTTTCACGGCGGAATCTGTGCTGTGCTTAGCCAAATCTCCAGGAGCGGTGCCAGCGCTGAGGTGGGGGGGCATAACAGAAGAGATTGGGTTGCGTCGCTCCTCCCATACCAGCTTCTGGATTTCAGCAGCTTTTTGCCTACGCTCGCTCTCCTCTACTTCTTTGTGCAGAGTTTCTCGCAAGCTGATCTCTAGCGTCGCGAGACTATCCTCCGACATCATCGCCATGACATTAGCAGTAGTACAGCCCCTCTTAGTCTACCCTGCGTGGGCGGCATGTGTGTAATATATAAGAAGAGATTTCAATTGGTAAAATTTTGTTAGCGGTAAAGACATTTTCATGAAAATAATTCAGTATTTTAAGTGTCAATGGAGATCTTCGCTAAACAATACCTCGCACACATTATGATACAATGCAAGATGATGAAGAACGTCGTTATATTAAAACCATTCATTGGGAAAGAAAGTAGGAAATCGTCATAAGTCCAGACACTGCACAAACTATCCTTCGACAAACTCTAGTGTAGCAACACGTCTTTTAACGCGGATATTAATGATCGGGGAATGAGCAGCACGCTATCCACATGTGAAAATCTATGTAAGTGTGTCTTATACAGGCCTCTCAAAAGACCATTTACGCAAATGTACAGCCTATGAAGAACAGGAGGACACGAGTAGTGCCCTACGATATTCAGTTTCACGAAATTTTCGACTAATGCACCATCCTCAGCAGACATGTACAAGAAGATGAAAATATTGTGTCACTACACAGGAAGATACTGCAACATCCAGCTTAGCCAACGAGGGAACTCGTCCGAACCAGAACCAGAATCAACAAATGCTACATAGCTACCGCACCTCAATGCACGAAAATTACACACTACTTCACACACGCTTTCTCTACAGTGCAAGACGCACGCTCATCACGTCGCACTACGCTTCGCTTCTCGTATCTCTCTCTCGACACTTAACGAAACCAGATCTGACAATGTCCAGAATCCACCAACACTCAAGCTGCAACATCAAAGCATCCGATCGTCACCTTCACACGCTCCTCAAAAGTGACAACCAGATCGAAGTCCGCGCATTCTATCGTTCGAATAGTTGTCGCGCTCCCTCCTCCGCCCTCGATCGCATGGAGCCCCAATCCTTGGCAATCAAGCAACACAGTGCGGGTTCTTGGTTGGAATTCTCGGCAGTTTTCTATACAAATTGCAGGAAAGCACGAGCTCGGAACTCTGTCACAAATGCAACTGTCAGCGAAGGGTGTCCACAAGGAAGCGGCACGATCTGAATGCGAGTGAGTTCGGTTGAATAGGCCCCATGGACCGATTGGGAGGGCTTATATTAGACCGCATGTGCTCGAAACAGGCATCGGCAAGTTGGAGCGGAAACCTCTTGGTTGCCGTACTCGTGACGACGTGACGAGCGTGCTGTTGTGGCCACTTGAGGGCACGGAGCGGAGCTGGGCGGGGCTGAACAGGGTGGGGAAAATCCTCCCGTCTATCTTTACCGCTCTCTGCCGCCGATCACCTTCCGCTGGCGTCTATCCGTGCCGCCTTTTGCCGCAGATCAGCGTCCTCTCGCGTCTATATTTGCCGCTATTTGTCGCTGATAGGCGTCCCCATTGCGACTTCCATCGAGGAACCCTAGATTTTGTGCTCCCTTTATTGAGTTACTTTTGATATGACGCCCTTGCTTTCTTTAATCAACGTGCTTTCTTGTGTTTAATTTTTTTTGGAGTTATCAGACTATATGTTTGTTCAATGATTAGTGGTTATTCATGGCTTGGATAGCCTAGGAATTGATTGATGGAAGATTCTGTTGTTCTAGGATGTGCTGCAGGATTTGTTACAAGCATTGTTTAAATTAATATTCACATGATTTTTGACCTTTTAATTTATATATATATATATATATTTATATACATGCTTTTTTCTGGAGGTCAAGTATACAAATCAAGAGTTCTTTGAAGTTTTTCTTTTTTGAAATTAGTGTAAGGATGTTTCTACTATCACATTGATCTAAATTAAGAATTATAAATTATTAAGATTTGGCATGATACTAAGCTCGCATTAAAATCTAATCAAAATATTAAAAAAATAATTTAGAAACAACTAAATGTGCCATGAAGATTTAAAAAAAATTAAAGAGATCCTACATAAATTCAAAATTAATGAACCTAAGTTCATTTCTTTCTTTTAGTAAAAATGTACATGCTACAAATAAAAAAATAAATATGTCAAATTCACCTTAAAAAAATCAACAATATTATCTAGTATTACAATTTGACATAAATCAATTGGTCTCTTTACTAAAGAATGGTGTTAGTTCTTTTAAACATAAATTGAATACAATCATAACTGTGAAAAACATTTAACCAAAATTATAAATGAACTATGGTTTAATTTTTGTGATATTATGTATATATAGCATATTAAAATTTTAATTTTATTATTTATTATTTAAATATTAATTTATTTTAAAATTTAAAACATCAAAGTTGTTTGTTTCTATTTTTATTTGAAAAATGGTGGATTTTGAAATAATCTATTTAGATTTGATCTTCTTGTATAAATATTAAAGTCTTAAAATTTTAAATTAAAACAAAATTTAATTAGACTTAAATATTTTTCTATAAAATTTTGGAAGTAAAGAATAAAATTAAATATTTAAATGAGGATTATTAAATCAATTCATACATTTACTAAATTAACCCACTTTTTATCATTAATTGAGGATCCAACTATTTTTTCATTGGTTTTCAACCAATGCAAATCTAGCAATGGAGAATTTTTAATGATGATTAAAATAGATAGGTCAATTTAGTAAATGTCTCAATTAATATAACAATTCCTATTCATATTTATAAAATAAATAAATAATATTATATATTAACATCAAATTTTTTTATTTTGTGAGTAACATGTTATTAGTAGTTATGAAGTTGTAATAAAAAAATTATGTTATACAGATGGATGTATATATATATATATATATATATATATTCTATAAATAGAATACAAAACTTTATATTTCCAAAATTATATAAAGTTCTTGTATCATTTCAAATTAGTTTTAATATTAGTAGTGGTCCACATTTAATATGAGTTCTTGCCAATTTGAAAGAGTAGTTTATATTTGAAGTTTGTTGTTGATATGCTCTAATGTACCTCTTGTCATTCTAAATTTTAACATAATTTAAAAAAAAAAAAAATACAAAAAAATATTAGTTGTGTCCCATTTCTTCCAAATTTTAGTTATGTCTTCCAAATTTTTACATAAGAAGATTGACCAAGAAACATTCATATAATTAACCTTATATTGACAAATCAAGTCCATTGCAGTTGTGGTATCATGGATATACATATTTACTCTAACAATTATCTAGATAATGGAAGTATGTAGAAATAAACAAAAGTAGATAAATTTGATAATATCTTGTGGAGAAGCTTCATAAATACAAATTTATCTTTATACATGTTTGTAAGTGATTGATAAGTTGAAAACTTGGCCAATAAGTTGGCTATGTATTGCACATGTTGGCTACTTATGGTATAAGTTAGAAATTTGGCGCATATATAGAAAACTTACCTTGCAAATTAGATATGTGTTTTTTAAGTTGAACACATATTAGATGTTTTATAAACATTGCCACATAGCTTTTATTTAAATAATATATTTAGAAACAAAAGAGTAAGACTTTCCTTACTCATGACAACTCCTTTCTTCTTTCAAGTCTAATTCCAAGAGTCTCTAGTTTTTTTAGTCATTAATAATAGCCATTCCATTTCTTCTTGAATATACATATTTACTTAATTTTTTTTTTATCATCATTTTTTGAAAAATGTCTTCTTTGGTTATTTACACTCTTAAAGTTCTTTTCTTTGAGATATGGTTGCCTCAAATTAACACATTATAATTATAATCTAAAGAGTATGCAGAAGCAAAAAAAAAAACCATGTAAACAAATTACACAATAAGCACATCAAGACAAATATGAAGACCACAAAAACTTATTCCTATGTCATGATAAATAAGGTCAGAATCTGTGAATCTCAATCACAATAAATCTCATGGAAGGTTACTTATTGTTAATGGAGAGAGGTATGCAAGAATGGTGACTAAGTTGACACTTCAATCTACTCAAAATAAAAGACCAAAGTGCATGCAATGGAACAAAGAAGAAGTAGATTAAGATGAAGGAGAGAGAAAATATATATATATATATATATATATATATATCTGAAAGGAAAATAGGTGGAGCAAGAATTTAACAACAAAAAGGGTAGAGATTTGGGCATATAGACCTGCAATAATTGCATACTACAATCCTAACTCATACAAATTGGCATGCACAATCTTCTAGTCTTGAGAATTGTTTTACAAAAAAATGTTTTCCACTCTTCTACAAAACCAATTCATTGACACTTCAATCTACTCAAGATATCTTTTGATATAAGAGGTAGATATTTAATATAAGTGCTTATAATCTTCAAAATTAATATTGATATCAAGAAGGTATATATCATATATCCACCATTTTTTAAAAGTTTGATCTCCTTTCTTAATGTAACTTTTTATCATTATATAACACAAATGGTTAGATTAGCAAAAAGAAGGTAAGAAAAAAATATTTAATTTTTTTAATGATTGATAAATAGTTGAATAGCCAAGTAGATCCATAAATAGATATATGGATCTTTTTATAAATTAAAAATATATAAAAAATACCACATATAAAACACATTAGATTATTTTAAATGCATTGTATTACATATGAAATATAAAAAAAATCACACCAATACTAATTTTTGTGCAACTTTTATTTAATATCTAATATTTAAATATATATATATATAACTTTGAATCTTTTTTCTATTAAATATTTTTGAAGCTTGAAATTTTTTTTTGAATTTGAATTTGATTTTTATTTTATTTTATTATAAAGTAATAAATATTTTTTAATACATCCTACTTGATTAATATATATATATATATATATATATATACAATTATATTTAAAATAAGAATAAAAATGTTATTATCACAAATTAATCTTAATATTTGCATTAATATCTAAGGTGTATTGAAAGTTGAATCATTTTATTAACTTCAAAATTTTTAAAAATGTACCATCAAAAATTATTGGTGAAACTAAGTGTAGTACTTTTATGAGCCAATTTGCTGATTCATAATTATTGTTTATAACTAACCTATGATAATAAAAGATTATGTCATATTATAGGCATCTATCTACAAATACCATACAAAATGTGACAATTTTTTATTCTTAGTAGAATTATTTTTACGAGGACTTTATAATAGAGGAATGTTTTTAAGTTTCTAAGCCAAAGAATATTGCTTCTAATTCAAGCCTAGTACAAGATTTTTTAAAATATTTTTTTTTATTTAATAGTGTAATGAATGAAATTTTATTACTAAAAAGTTGCAAAAAAATTTAAGATGATATTATTATGTGTATAGACAAAATTCATTTTTGTTATTAACAAGAGAATTAGATTTTAACTTGTATGTTTTGTCTTGTATATAAACAGACTCTATTGTCTTTAATAAGTTAGTTAATTTTAATTCATGTAATTTTATATAATAAACTAAATATTAAAAAAATGCATTAGCTTGGTTTAGAATTTCGACCACGTTGTAAGCCTCTTAAAGGATTTTATAAATTAAAAGACATACAAAAAAAAACTAGTTGTTGAAAAAAGAACACTTAACTATAGGGATATTATTCCTCATGTAAAAAGATGTTATAAGGAGATCAAAGTTTTATTATATATTTAAATTAATTAAATAAATTCTATGATATTTCTCTTATTAATTAATCTCCTAAAAGCTAATAATGCCTAAAAATTAATTAATATTTTAGAAATTGACTCCATTCTATGGTGCATAATTAATAAAGATCGGCGGTGAATTTACAAAACTGTATTTGCCTTCGTACATGCACTGCGTACGTACACCTAATGCTTCTGCTCTTTTGAGCCGATTTTGAGCTCACCCTCGATAGCCGCCCTGCCGCCCAACAGCTTCTTCGCAATCTTGTACCACTCCGTGTGGAAGGAGTCCTTCATATCAACACGCTCGTAAGTATGGAAACCAAAGTAGTCGCGCTGAGCTTGGACAAGATTAGCTGGAAGCCGAGCTCGCCTGTACGTATCAAAGTAACCGAGACTGGCGCTCATACCTGGGGTGCTCACCTCAACTTCGATTGCCAAAGAGACAACCTTCCTCCATGCATCTTGCGTCTCTGCCATCTCCTTCGCAAATTCAGGGTCTATCAACAAGCTTGCCAATTTTGGGTCCCTGTCGTAAGCTTGCTTAATGCGGTCCAAAAACTTGGCTCGAATAATCCCTACAGAGGAAAACTCGATTGAGCAAGTTTGAGTTCAGGAGTGCTGCGTAATCGAGAACAGAGACTACACTCCGTCGTATTTTCCGATTCCTCTCGATTCCACTACCACCCCACCAAACAGAAGCACAGCAAACACCGTTCGCCTGATCAGGTCCTCGGAACTCCGAATTAAGCTGTCTCATGAGCACGGAAGCTACAGCACTCATCTCTCCATCAGCCCACGCTTCCTCTCCCACCTCGATCCGTCGCTTGCTCTCAGGGCCAAAGTTCCAAGTTGGCGCGGATTCGGGACGGGGGACTGGGGTCGAGACGGAGGACGGGCTATGGGAACGCAGGATGGGAACTTGGAGAACAGGGACCCCACACGGGCTCTGAGAACAGAAAATGGGGGAACGAGGAGGTGCAATGATGTGGGTCGATTTAGTAAAAACAAGGGTCGATTTAAAAATCCCCTGTATATTATTATTATTATAATAATAATAATAATATTTCTGTATGAGTTAACAATTCATATATGGATTAGCGTTTAAGAGGGAAAGTGTGAAAGCTTAGTTGATGTTTCTACTTCAAACGATGTCTTAAGTCACATATAATCTCGTGTTTTGCAGGTATTGGCAATGATTGGGGATCAGTTGGATTATGGCGACACAGTCTGCGGTGCTGTTTTGAGTATTCGTTTTGGGGAAGACATCCTGAGTGTATGGAACCGTAATGCTGCTGATAATCAGGTACAATGTCAATTCAGATGCACAGCTTCTCTTTAAGGTAGCACGTTAGCTTCTTTAGTTATCAAAAGGCTTGGCCTTTTCTTCAGACAATACATTATTTCTCTCGTATCACAGTCAACACAGTTAAGAGTGCCACAATGCTAAGTATAGTCCTTTATTGATTTTAAGTTCTCTGTGAGATAGCAAAGGACCCATCCTTAAATAGCTAACTATGCCTTTGGTAAATTCATACATGTGCCGCTTTCGTGTGCAGGTTGTCATGGCTCTCAGAGATTCAATCAAGCGGCATCTTCAACTGTCTTTTGGGTACATGATGGAGTACAAACCTCATGATGCATCATTGCGTGACAATTCATCTTTCAGAAATACATGGTTAAGAGGCTAGTGACTGTCATTATATCATTTTTGACGCTGAAACCGGAGCCTTTTCTCTAAATGCGAAGTCGTATGATGCGCTTATTAGCGAGAGGATTGGAGTACTGAACACATTTCTGGGCATACAGTTAACTGCTAAAAATGGCTGTTGTGTGTCTGGCTTTAGTTGCGGAAGTGGATGTTCCATTTACATGTGACAGTCTCGACACTTAAATCCCAGAAACAGATTACGCTTGCGAGTTCTGTATCATCAATATGTTCAGTTTGTTAATCTGATTTCAGTTGGACGTAATTACTCGAAGGACGCACTTCCACTCCAGGCCTGGAGCTTGCTGCCATCTCCTCAGGGAGTTTTAATGTAGAGAATGCACCCACCGGCCTTCTTGCAGTTTTAGGGTCTCTCTTTTGTTTTATTAAGAACTTGAGACATACGTAGCCATGAACTGCTGCCCCTACTTGCGAGCAGCTTATCTGTTTTTGTCCATTGATTCTGAAGCGAAGTCGAAGCAAATCTGTTGAAAGCAAATCTATGGCGTTTAGCATGATGGCGACGTTTCTAGGTGGATGTGAATTATAATTTCCTGCCGAGAAACCATGGATGTTGCCTTAGAAGCGTTTCGCCGTAAATGAAAAGCTTGTTGCTGGGGTGTGATGAACAATGATGGCGCATGGTTCTTGTGAAAAATACAGTGACTCAAAACAATGTGTTCCCATTCGTGAATTTTGCGATCAGCATATGACGCCATCACACTGAATGGGGACATCGTCTAGCACTGAAAATTTGGAGATTGTGGAGGCCACACGTCACAAACAGGTTGCCTGAATAGCCACTTTCTCACACAGTGCAATACACTCATGGTTTTGATGCAGTTGAAATATGACTAGGATGGATCCTAGCGGTAGTGTTATAAACTGTAGTAGAGTAGGATACCTAGAATCTCAAAATGAAAGACCTGATGTCTCGTGCCCTTACTTCATTTTACACTTACATATTTTCAAGCCATTAAAAAACTAGTACCGTTTATATATGTGTAAGCAATTGATCTTGCTCCAATTTCTGAGTTTGAATGAAGTATAGTCAGCTGTCAAGATTGAATGTTATTGCGTGTTAAAAGTGGTTTGAAGTGCAGGGACTAAGCAAGAACATCTTTGTAATGGAGTTTTCGTAACTACGGCCGGTAGTGCAACACACTGAATCTAGTTTGAGAAGAAAGACTTCAAAGTTGATGCAATAATTAATTCTCTGATGATACCTGCCCAACCACTTATGTGTCCCAAGTCATTTTTCGCCCTTGAGTATCAACCACTTCAAATCTTGCGACTCACTAATAGTAGCATAAACCATGACACTTCTTTCACATGAGCACTTCATTGGAGACGTTATCAACCGAGAGGTAGCATACCTAAAGGATACCTCCATTGCACTCCTTAAGACGGAATTGCATAGACATGTTATATATCTCTTTCTCTCACAATCGTGACAATGTCGACCGCAGGATGATACTCCCAGAGAGGACAACCTTATTGCGTTCTTTGACCTTAAGCTTATAATCCACCCTACAATGAAAATTTGTCGAAGTGTTAAAATAATACATGCGGGGCTATTCCAAGTAAAAACGACGCCACCATAACTCTGCTTCTAAAAATGATGCTGAACTCTTCCACTCTTCTGAGTAGCCACCTATTGCTGCATGTATGTCGATTCAAAATTTCTCAGGGTTAGTGAAAAGATTTACCTGTTTTGACCTTCATCTTTCCACATTTCAGTGACGAGCGTCTCCCCTGGGAACACGTGCAGCAAGAAACGACCTTGCACTGACTGCACATTGCTTGGGTCTCCTCCACAAAAACCTGTTACGACTGCCTTTGTTGCAAATCCAAGTGTACATAAACCGTGCAGGATAGGTTGAGGGAACCTGCAGATAATCAAAATGGATCAGTATTCAAGGAAAGGCGAGAAAAACTTCGTAACAAAGTCACCAAAAAGGAAACCTCTAAAAGATTTGAAAGGATTAAATAGGAGGAAGTTACATGGCACTAATAAATAACTTGACATGATTGAGAGAACCTCAATCTACCACATACAACTTTCACCATTTTGATCAGTAAGTCTAAAATTTCCTATTAACTTCAACTCCGAAACCCCTCATTTTGAAACCCAGAATTACTTCCGACACTCTTCCACAATTAGAGGTAATGTGTCATGTGCTCTCAACGCATCTATATTAAGAAGAGTGCGAAAGAAATATACCCAGCTTTTTTGGCAAATGAGGGGTCTGCATGCAGAGGGTTATAATCTCCATTTAACCTGTATAACAATGCCTGCAATGGTATTTCAAGGCGATGATCAAAACAAACTCTAGAAACTGGATCCTACAGGTACGAATCTTTGATTGTGCACATTTAGAACAAGAGAAACGAGTAGATTGTTGCATTAAGATTTGACAAACAAAGAAAAACACTATATACTTCCAAGTTTTATTTCGACACGGTAGACTATTGCACAAAGGTTGTACAATTCTCCAGATAAACAACTCACTTGCGATGGGTGAGTGTGATCTTCAAAAACCCTATCAGGACTGGTCCCTCCTGCTGAAACATCCTTCTTTGCAGCAGTCCTGGAACCTACACCTGCAATTAGAGATGTACGATTCGAAAAAGAAAATGGTATCTCTGAGGTTGAAAACCCTCCAGCTCCACGGAGAAATATAGTACTCCTGAACATCAATCAAAAAAAATCTTTGAAGTGTTCGCAATCATATTACCCCAGTCGATATATACTCAACGAGTCCCCCTGACCACATTCACAAGTCTGACCGAAAATATGTATCTGGTTTATGCATGATCCAACCAACTAAATCCTCACATATCACCATCATAGAAAGGCTAACCATTCTCAGAGAACATATTATACACCTCAAACTTTCAACAAGAAAACAACGAATCGAGTCGAGCACAAACGTTGATCGTAATATAGAGACAGTAGCTTCAATCTGTAACACCTCGAACCCATAATTAAAAATTACAACTAAATATTGCTACCGTATGTCACGCTAAAGGTACAGTACACTGAACCTGTTCATGCACAGAAGAGCCCCAGTGTCATCATTGTGACTGACTGTCTCCAATTCAACAACAGCAGCTTTACCTGAAGAATATCCAAGGTTTCAAGGGTAAGAAGGATTGAGACTCGACACTATTCCTTGATTATTGTAAGAGGTTAATAATACGAATCAACTAAGCAGGGAAGATGGAAGCGTTCTGTATTTAGTTCTCACCCTTATCATGAAGACCTGCAATGCGAATATTGTTTCGTATCTGTAGGTAATGCATCGACAAACACGTTATTGCAAGTAGATAAAAATAGCCAATTTCATAGGATCTCATGCCTTCAAGAGAAAACAAAGCAATGTCACTAAAGTGTATTTTATAACATTCAATGCATTATGAAGAATGCCTTAATATCCTCTGAGCTAACTCACCGTCGCATTAACTGGAATAGGCTGATACACTTCAATATACTGCTCCCCGTGAAGTAGTAATTTGGGATCATAGCTGAGAAATCAACAAGCACGAGCACAAAGTAATTGAACATTAATTGGTCATTTCCTGGAGGTGTAATTTCTTGAAGCTGAATGTTCTGAATTAAAGGAATAATACCAGTTACATAAGGTAGGACAACTCTACAAGAAGCAAAGAGGCACTCACTGCAAGCCTGATATACTGCCGATGAGGTCAAGGAATCCAACAGGATACAGCACAGTAAAAGTAGGCAAGACCTGCGCAAAGTAACCATTCGAGTTAGTGAAGTTCATAAAGCTTTGCAATATGCAAGAAGCAATATCATTAGAGCATGACGCAAATCAATCTTGTGTAACTGTCCTGTGAAAGATACGAAAGCGGAATAGGAAGTTTGTTAAAGACGTGGTTAAAGCGAAGACAAAGAACTGAGTCATAATTTTTTTTTATACATAACATTAAAAAACAAAAAAATGTTACAAACATTCCGCATTTCAGGTAATAGAAAGCGCATGGTTAGGATGTACACGTACCTTGATAGATGACTGACCATCTGGATGATACACGTATGAAAGTTCGGAAGGATCGCATGGATCCGAGCTAGCTGCTCCCACTCCCAAAGCATATAGGGCTACATCTCTGTCTGACACCAGGCTACTTTCAGTAGACGACTCTAAATCTGTGCGTAAAAGTAAATGTATGTGGAGCAGATACTAACACGCATAATGAGATATAATTTCGCGCTTTTGAACGAAATCTTACACGACTAGGAAAGGGAGGTAAAACCCAATAGCTGTGAGACATTACTAGCAAATCCACAAACTCTCAGCCTCGGATTAGTACTAATAGCCGAAATAAATGATAACACTAGGACTCTTACATGGAGTTGTATACGCAAGCTGATCATCTTAATAGCTAAATGACGTAAAACAACAAGAAATCTGCGCAAAGCTCAAGCGGGTGAAATAGGTTTACCTTTCTGTGTATGTGAAGAGAGACTACAAACAATCAAGGCAGCACAACAAAATGTTAGCAATTTTGAAGCCTTCCAACTCACAAATTTGTAGAATTAACCACAGAAGCTGCTCTTGGCAACCATCACTCCACAAATTCCAGAAATCAAAATCTTGCACCATCACAAAAAAACCTCGATCTCTTTCTGCAAGAATTGCAACAAGGTGCCAAAGAATACGATATCCCTTGCCGCGTCCAACACCTAAGGACCCGTACTCGATACTTACAAAAGGTACGTACAAATCACTACTCAGGAACAAAATAGCCGAGGATACGACCTGTGATTGCATAAATTTACACCAAAAGTAGAATACTGTGACTTAAAAGATATGAAGTATCTACAGAAGAATTCTGATCATCCATCAATCGCCCAGATTATACAAACTCGCAAAAGTCACATGCTCTGAGAATCTTAAAAAACTGAGATCAGAACACATACAAACAGTAACACGCAAAGTCCTCACGTCCTTAATCAGGCCATAGAATGTCTTTACAAAGTACCAAAACAAGTGAATTCAAATGTGGACAGCGCGAATGGCAACGGAACAAGTCTCAAATGCTTATTACGACAGAACTAGAAAGTACTCAACAAACCAACGCAACGCCAAAATTTTCCTCTCTTTATTAAACGAAAATGCAAGAATCCGATTGCTCACAGTCCATTTCACTAGAACCGCAAAAAAATTCAGCTGCGAACGTAAAGTTGAGACCAAATGAAATCGTGCAGCAAGGGATATCGGGACAATACGGCATGGAAAATTTCATTGTTCTCTTCTCTATTTCACTAGGATTTATATGATCGAAAATGAGAGGAAAAAAAAAACATACCTCTGGAAATTCGTGAGCGAGGACCTGCGCGGGATCAATTCGCGGAAGCGAAGCCATGGCCAGAGTTATCGAAACAGAAGTGGAGGCACCGCTACGCTACCCCTGAAATTTTCTTAGAGTGCGCTTCCATGCAAGCCGGTCATAGGTTCCAGGCTGAGTAACACGGTCGACAGCTACGACCGAGAATAGTAACTTCTAAGACCGTGCGCTGAACTTAACCGTCGAGAGGACGTGGGAACCGTCCAGAATTTGTACAGCTTTGAAGAGATGTAGGACTTGGCAATCACGGCTTCTAGTTTGTCAGGCTCGCGAATGTAGCCCTCGTAGCAATCGTTCATGATGTAACGGAGAGTCTATTGTCGACAAATTCATTAGTTTGATTCTAATTTAAGTTCTGAAGATTTGATGTTAACATTAGTATCGGAGGTGTGTGAAGAGCGTTGTGTCGAAGTACACAAGGGTTTGAGATCTAATGCGCCAAGCAGATGTGGAGCTGAGATAACATTTTCTTAACGAATTCTCGAAACTTTCATTCCTGTGCTTTCTTGGCTGGATGTCGAAGACATTCGAATTGAGTAAAGGCTTTCTAACATAGAACCGAAGCTCCCGGTTGGAAGTGCAGGAGTTCGTGTTTTCATCGTCAACGCCATTGTCGAATTCTTGGCAGAGAAAGGAGAAGGATTGAATCGCATCTAGGAAGCACTGTGAAGGGATCATGACTTTTTTTTGGATTAGATGTTAACTTTCAAAGAAAATGCTGAATCATGGGACAGACCGGTGCTGTTGAGCTCTCTTAGACGTGAGCGAGCATGGGACCGCCGATCATGGAGCGGCAGACACCGATGTTGCCTCAGAATACGGTAATTGATTATCTCAAGCAAAGTGTTTTCAGTGAGATATTTCTGAATGAGGATTGATTGGAATCTCAAGGGCTTGCAAATTGTGCTATGGCCAACTTTGTTGGAAGCAATTATCAAAGGCTGACCATGGAGTCATTTGTGAAACACAGTGAAGTGCAACTTTTCAAGCCGGATGAATCACCTAATATTTCTTTTAAATCTTTTTCTTAACATTGGAAAAAGAAATTTATTGAGACTTTTGCAGATAGAATTCATGCTAATAAAACAAACATCCTGAATTTCTTGCACAGGCAGCAGAGAACAATGACGTGAGATACATGCATCCAGCTGCTGCTTTCTTTCACTGTGCAGGCAAGGTAAACTCACGAGATCGTCGTTTTTCCGCTCCTCATGAGCGTAAGCCAATTGAGTAGAAAAGCGGAACGTTTAGTGCATGAAAGAATTCACTAATTTGTGCAGGTGGCTGCAATTTTATCGTACCTCCTGTGCGGGCTCTTTTCGGAAAGCTACGTGATTAATTTTGTTGTCACAACCTTACTGATTGGAATCGATTTCTGGATCGTGAAGAACGTAACCGGGAGACTATTGGTGGGGTTACGATGGTGGAATGACGTTGATGAACGAGGGGAAAGTACTTGGAAATTTGAGTCGCTTAATCAACAGGTCCGCTGCTTCCAGGCGTTCTAAACTATCTAAGATTAAAGAAAAACTAAAATTAGTAAAAGCGTCCTCATGTAGAAAAATGCAACAATCAACTAAAAGATGAGGAGAAGTAAAAATATTAAAGAAACTCAGTTCAATTTAATTATGCTCTAATCATTCTGTACGGTTTAAATCATTGCGTTGTGACTGCAGGCGTTGGACCGCATCAACAGAAACGATTCGTGGATCTTTTGGTGGTCACTTTACATAAACGTAAGTTATGTCAGCTTATTACATAGAGTTATTTGCTTCAGCTTTCCTCTGCATTGTCAAAGTTGCATTCATCAAAAAGATAACGCATTAGCATTCAAATTATAATATGTGATTTGAGTGAAGTAGTAAATACCTTAGTGTGTGGTTTCATGACATTAGCAGAATGCGGCATGGGTAGCACTAGCAATCATTGCTATTGTAAAGCTCAATTTCGACTACCTGATTATCACTATCATCGCAATAAGTCTTACAAGTGCGAACACAGCTGGATATTCTAAGTGCAGAAAAGGTACTTTGTCGAATAACCCGACAATTCCTCACCCTTGGGCATTTTTTATCAAGTCTGCTGTATTTGGTGTATTTGTTTATATAATTTCTGGTTATGAATTGATTCCGGTCGAATACCATCCGAACTCCGTACCAAAACTGGCCACAACAGTCAACATTGAGGCGATGTGATGCTGTGTTTCTCTCACTGCTTTCATCTCCATTCTGTTGACCTTACAGATGCTGAGAGGCGAGCGAATGCTGGAGGTCAAGGTTTTGCTTCAAGTTTATTCCAAGCAGCACGAGGAGTAAGTGTTGACTCATCCATGATACTTCCTAACCGTGGAACATAAACTCGTATAGAGGTATATTTTGAATTGTCTGGGTCACTGACGTATGGGGAAGGTGCAGGTGAGAAACATGGTGTGACTAAATAAGGAATCGGAACCGCCACAAAGGATTTACTCGCCCACAGGTAACAGCATTATCCTTATCTGCATGCCAATTGAAAGTGCTAATGTATACCTTAATTGAGAGCAGATGAAATAATCTATACATAGACTAAGTCGCATTCATTCATTTCAAATAGTACGAGGTCTGAAACACTTTCTCGGAGTGTAACTTATATAGTGTGGGAAGCATTCTTTACAGATCGAAATATCAATTTTTACAGACTGAAAAAGGGATATTTTAGGGAGGTAATACAAGCTCCTGAACGCATATTCGGTAAGCGGTCACACCATTGATAAATTGAGTGACAAGCTTCTCTGCTTTTGTAAGTGCCATAATTCCTGCTCTTGCTTTCGATCATGCAATACAACACCACATCCGATTAGTTGGCACGTATCACAAGGTTCTCAACACGCCATTTCTTCAGAAATGAGGTGCTTCTACTTATTTTACACTTGAGAACTCTCTACTCTTGAGAAGTAAGGATTTGATACCAATCGACTGCTAAACTGGGATTGACTGCAAGTTTACATATTCACGAACCACTCCTCACTGCGCAAAAACCTTTGATTGGGAACTTGTTCAATCTTCACAAAAAAAAAAAAAAAAAAAAAAAAAAGGAGCTATGATATGAGATGCGCACCTAATTCAAGAGATTGAACATCTTTTTGATCAAGGAAAAATTGATTGGCATGTTCTCCCTGAGTGCCACGCTGTCTAATTAGCTCATTGATTTTGGTGACTGCAGCATTGACCTCCTGGAAAAAGAATGTTAGATTTGATACTAACGTGGACATGAAGGAATACATTAATACACTTGCAATAATAAGAAACACGCTGTTAATGTGATTCCAGAGCATATTTTCTCGCCGTTTTCAAGCCACATCCATGCTCTTCGATTCACATGGTATGAACAACACAACGAAGAAGAAGGAAACAGCAGAGCATTACCTCAAAAGAAACCTGAGACTTTAGCCACAAAGGAAGATGGTCGTATTGCACACTACTTATTTCGTTTAGAGATGGAACTTTCTTGGTGTCTAAACTTTGAAAATTTTCATCTGAAATCGAAAAAATGAAAGTAAGAAATCAGAGATTCAAATAAATTGGAAAGAAATCAGGATTGCACATGCGTGGAAGGAAGGTACTTTACAGAATTTTCAAGATGTAAATATACTCAATCAAAGACAATTTAGAGTTGTCCAAGATTGAAGCGACGGACAAAGCAGTTTCAATTGAGGCATAAGATTAAGGCGGTCGCAAAAGTTTTCAAAGTGGTACTATTATTGGTTTTTTATCATCGCCTATGTCATTAAGATATTTGGCTTAGAAGGTTAAAACAATGTATCCAAATAAGAGGTTGCAGTTGAACCTCTAATGGGAGTAGAAGTGGTTGGTGTTGCGTTCGTAGCTCCATCACCATGCTCGCTTTTCGGTTTATTGTGAACAAGAGGGTTGGAACAGACCTCGGCATTTCTTTGCGTTGAAATTAATCTGGAATCCGATTCACTCGGCGGTGGTGGAGCCTTTTTTTTTGATTCAGGGAACCAGTCACTGCCATACTTTGTGTTCAGATTATCTTCCATTTCAGCATCCCTGTAATAATTAAAGAACCACATCAGTTATTTTGTTCTTTTAGCATGCAGAACTATTCATCTTATCTCGCGACTACTGTTGTTCAATGACATGATAGAATCATGATGACTCATCTATTGCTCACAAGATTCCTACCGCAAATAATCTACGAAGAATTTTCTTGTACACGTCCTTTACTGCAGTTAGTTTTTGTGATAATTTTCACGAGAGCTCATGAAATTAAAATGGTACAACAGGCTTTAATAATTAACCTCAACTGAGTCACACAATAGATACTGGATCACCTTAAGCTTATCCTGGCATCTTCATTTGTCGGTGACTCTACGAATGTTAGCTTTTGTAGAGATGGATGAACAGAGCTAACTGGTTCGTCTGCAACTCACCAACATACAACATACAGATCTTTTGAACAATTTCTAATAGTGAGTTGACACTTCCCCTACTACAGATACGAATGAAACAGGGCAGAAGACTTTTAAGATAGATACAACAAATTTTTATCTCACTGTTCAGTTGTCCCTTGATTTGGGGCTTGTACGTAGCTAAAATATATTACAATCAACCACGTCAAGGCAACCGAACTATCATTCCCAACCTTGTAAACAACTACATTACAAGATATAGGATTTCAGAATAATTATTGCAAACCTTGGCCAGTTAGTGCAGTGAGACTAGTGGCAGAAATACCAAGGCTTTCCAGGTTTTCAAGGTCTCCTAGATCACCAAATCTGCTCTTAGCTTAGGAACAAAGTTCATCTAGATGATAAGCAATATGTTGAAGAAACTGAACAACGAGAAAGACAAATGACTTAGATCAATAAGAAGGTGCAATATTTGGGTATGGATACAAGGGACTGTACTCAACATCTCTTTTGGCATTCTTAATGTTGTATGAAAGCGCCGTTGGTGTCACCTTAGATGTCTCGTTCACGTTCATTAAGGCCGGAGTAGCTGCAGATTTGTGTGAAGAAATTTCCTCGTCTTGTGTATGAGAATTTGTCCTCATTTCCTGGTACGTAGTCTCATGTAGAACATCTGCAGGAATATGCTTGGGCACTTCAACAGCATAACAACACAGCGTGTTTTACCTCCATGGAAGTTACTTTTGCCATCCGTCTATCTTTTCTGAAGCAGCTCATTCAATGTTCTAGGGCATATCAACAGTTCAACTTGCAGCGGATAGTTATTCTAATTCATAAATTTTCACGATATGATGATGATAAAGCTGAGTAGGCTCTACAGGTCGATGGTACACGGCTCTCTTTTCGTTTCGGAACAGCAATACGGACTCACACCACTGCAAAGTGAGCAATCATTTAAATAAATAACATACCTGGTGCGTATCCATACTGCTGCAACTGGAGTTCGAGTTTTCTGATGCCGTCCTCATTTGACTCGTACAAGGCATCGCAGTGTACTAGAAGCTCCTCAAATGATAGAGTGTCAGTTGTTCTCTCCTCCAAATGTGTCAGCTCGGTCAGAGCAGAAGATATATCATCGTTTAGATCTTCCAGAAAAATAGCAAAGTTGTATCCTGGTGTGATAGTAACCACAACCAGAACATTTGAGTCGCCACACGTATTAGCATGAATCACAATAGTAAGATCACTTTTCAACCGTGGTCGTGAATGATGCTTGCGATGATAAGAGAAAAACTGCTACAATTACTGCAATGGATTCAACTAAATGAAATCAAGAAGAGATATTGCACTGTTTACATAGGACAACGCTTAACACCATCTGATAAAATTAACTATGTGAAGCGGCAGAGCTCGATCTTGAAGTTGAGAATCAGACTGCATTCCCATCTAGTTGTTATTTAAGATTTGCTGATCGTCCGACCATGATGCTACTAATCAGCTACTTTGAGCTTTAATGCTAGGATGTGATCACACCATAATCATAGCATTAAATATCGTATAGCCAATACCATTAAAAAAAAACTCTTACCTCGTGATTCTGGTTTCGGCTTCACCTTAGCAATGCTGAGCAGGGAAGAGCAATTGTTTTGAAGTTGCGCACAAAATTGATCCAATCTATTACAGTATGCAGTTGCCAGCATCGATGTGCATGGCAGCCTCTGAGACGCCATCGGACTGACTTCGGAAACAGTATCAAGTCTCTTGCCCTATGCTCGATACATACAGCAAGTTTTAAGATAAAAAAAAACAACTTCTAAGAAAAAGCGCAAGACCACGCATCAAGACAGAACAGAAATCGCTGAAAATTTCTTTCACTTAAGTCACAAGAAAAACAAAAACTCGAACATATCCCCTAAAATATTCCAGCATTCTAGCCAGGAGCTCCGCATCAATCAAACTTCAGCAATTCAAAACTGACCACGATTTCTTGCAAAAATTTGAATTCGCATAGGGCAAAAAATTCTACAAACGTCAACATACGATAAAATAATATAAAAGTGGCAATGCAACTGCCTCAGAAGAACTGGTAGACAAGTAGAAACACGTAATTAAAAAATTACCGAAAACATCAACGAGGACGAGCTGGATGCAATCGACGAGCGCCACGCCGAATGCCGGTGCCGATGGCCAGGCTCATGCAATTCAATTTGGAGGGAACGGACCGGGAACTGAGAACACGATAGGCGATGATGTGAGAACAGAGTGGAAAGGAACGTTGGAATAACGAACGATCTTTTGCAAATTGGCCCCGAAGGAAACGTCCGTCGTAAAACCTGTGTTTGGACTTCAAATGCCGACCAACTTCGTCAGCCTGGACGGAAGTGGCGAGTTGATTGACCGTCGCAGTTATCATCTTTTCGTTCGTCAACACGTTCCCTATGCTGTGCTCGTCCACTGCAGCACATGCTGAGACTTAAATTTTCAGATTCAGCATATTATGCATGCATATGAATATGGTAAAAATATTACAATGATTCCAAAATAAATTATGGAAAAATTTACTGTAAAAATTCATAACAAATCGGACAAAGATATTAGAACTTGCTCAAGATTTAGATAATACCTGTAAAATTCATTGTTAAAAAAAGTAGTTACACTGATGTTTTAAATGAAGATATTTGTAAACTTTTGATGCTGACCAAAGTTTTTGAGAACTATTGTGAAACGATTATGTAAATAAATCATTGATCATATTTTCACTCTAATAATTTTTAATTTGAACATAGTAATTCTAATTATTTTGATATGGAGTTTATTGAACCAAAATATTGAACCAAACTCTTTTGTAAGTTTGGTTCAATATTTTGGTTCAATAAACTCCATATCAAATGGATTTTTTATTTATTTAAATAATTCAATTTATATAACGTTGCAATAACTATTCGTTATGTACCTTTTCATTTACCTTTCCTTTGTGTTACACATTAAAATTGAGTAAAATTGTGCTTAAATGACAATGTGACCAATTACAATGCATTGTGGGGTTCCACGTCATCCTCGTCCACGTCACCGTCTTTGAAGTCATGTTCCTCCTCTTCAGGGTTTAGTTTTCATGTGCACACTTTTGCAGATTCGCGGTCGTCCCTGGGGCTTTGAAAGAGCTAATTCGATTCGGCATCTTAATGATTGCAATTAGACGACTGGAGCGATGTTTCAGGTCGACCTTGGCGGCGGATCGATTCGCTTTGGAGGATTGAATTGCAATTTGATGCCCGAAGCTTTTGTTCGAGGGCCTGGAGCGTTGCGCCGACATGCAGGTGCGGTCTTCCTCTTTGGACTCCGACGTCGTACCGGGCCTTTTGTGCAATCGCGGAGTCACGACCCTTCGAGTGGGATTTACGAGGCTGTGCAAGTGCACCTGGCATCGGGGTCTTACAAACGCACCATCCTCGTGCAGAAAGGTTTCTAGAAACCCTTCATTGAAGATTTTCATGGCTCTATGCTCATGAGACGACGTGATACTGAACGTGTGGCATGCATCGAAGACAGATCAGAGTTCGATTGCATGGATGGGCATGGCTACAGACCTCATGCATACGATCATCTTCCGATTTTGACACTGTGCCGATCTTAATACCGAAGGGTGCCAGACTATCTGGAATTGGGATTGACCTAACGGATGATTTTTTGTTTTGAAACTTTGTACCGGAAGGAAGTGTCTTTGGCATAACTCCCTGATTTTACACCAACAGCAGACTAGCAAGCCCTAATTTAAGGGGTTCTCATAACATGCTCCAAACTCCATGTCTAGACTCTTCTCTTTCGGATGCTTGCGCTGTACAATATTTCCGTGCTTTAGGTTCGTGCGCTGTAGATGTTTGCGTATCCAAACTCTTGAATTAGATAGGAATGCCTTCTTGTTGTTTATTGTGAGTACAATTTTGATATACCCATCAATTGCAGCTGGAGACGGTTCTTGTGAACGATTTTTCCTCTGGTAAAGTACTTTTTGCATCATTACTCTCTGACTTGTTCGTGATAGTTTTTAGCCTAACAATTAATTGTCTCTTGTATTCTTCGGTGGCATTTGCAAAAGTCTAAACTTCTTTCATCGTTATCTCTAATGAGATATGGTGGTTGGGATTGAGCAATAACAATGATGGAAATGCAACTGATTTTCAGATCAAGAAGTGCGGAGAAGCAGACACGTTGCTGCCAAGGCACAAGGTGTGCTATTTCTGAGTTGTTTAGGAAGACCCTGCAAGTCGAGCTTCGTGATTGTCACAGTTAGGTGTTGATCTGGCTGCAAGGAGTTTGAAAGCACGACGTACTGCTTCCGTTGGAACTTGTAGATCCTATCAGGATGATACTCACTTCCCATGCACATTCCATTCACGAATTTTTTCTCGATAGCATGAGCAGCTTCATTTGTGGGGATCTTTTCAGAAACGGCAAAAACTCCTCGAGCGGTCCACATGGAGGAACACCACAATGAATCACCGTAGGTCGATTGTCGTTCCCGAAGTTAATGACGACCATCACGAAGATTTCTATCCGCAATGCCTTCTGGATGTCCTGGGCTTTATCGTTCTCGTTGGTTTTCTTCTGGCAAGTGAATTACAGGAACCGCCATGGCCTACCTCCACCTCCACCAATCCCCAACCTTCGCCCTCATGTCTTTAATCTGACAGACTTTGGAGCTGTAGGTGATGGTTACAGTGTCAACACCCGATGCTTTGAAGACGCCATCGCGGCAATCAAGGAGAGGGCCAGTGATGGGGGAGCACAGCTTATTGTTGGCCCTGGACGCTGGCTAACAGCTCCATTTAACGTTACCAGCCACATGACCCTCTTTCTGTCTCGGGGTGCCACTATAGTCGCCATCCAGGTATTACGAATTTCTTGGTCAAGATTTTACAGTAGAAAATTTTGAAGTGTTCCTTCCTGCTGCACTGAAGGCGGCCTCCAAATTATTGTGAACCGTTGGTGAGCAGGACGCAGGGTTGTGGCCGATTCTTCCCGCACTGCCCTCCTACGGCCGGGGCCGTGAGCTGCCAGGTCTTCGCTACAGCAGTCTCATCCACGGACAACACGTGGAAGATTTTGTTCTAACTGGTCTCTCATTCTGGTCCCTCTTACTTTTGCTTGAATTCTCACCAATTTCCTTCATGTCTTGAAAGAGGCTTGAATCATCACCCTCGCTTCGAGTACTTCCGTTTAAGAACACGCAAATTGCTGTGGCAGGTCACAATGGAAGCATAGATGGACAGGGTGGTTGGTGGTGGGAGCAACACAAACAGAAAAGACTGCGCTACACAAGGGGAAGGCTTGTAGAGCTCATGTGGTCCACCAACATTGTAATCTCGGACGTGACTCTTCAAAATTCGCCATTCTGGCATTTGCACCCTTACGACTGCACCAATGTCACCATCAGCGGCGTGACTATTCTGGCTCCTCTCGATGCTCCCAACACCGACGGGATTGACCCTGGTGATTGACGCTTGCTTCATTAATTCTTCCGTGATAGCAAAACTAAAAATGCGAGTAGGTGACCGGCTAGCTTACGTTTTGCTCGTATTTTCTGTATACTTGGAATGTGTCAGGACTTAGGCATAAGCTGTAATACCTCTTCAATTTGAGTATGAGAATGGAGTACATGTGGATGAAAAGAGACAGAGCCCTGTTAAAAGCATAGCAATCTTTCTCAATATGTGAGTTGTCTTCCAATTCTCCCCAGATTCTTGCAAAAACGTGCTGGTGGAAAACTGCTACATCAGTGTGGGAGATGACGCTGTTGCAGTCAAAAGTGGATGGGACAAGTATGGGATTGAGTACAATCGACCTTGTGTCAACGTCACTATTCGAAATGTTATTGCTCGTTCGCAGATCAGGTACCGCTTGTAATTTCTTGGATAAAAGTGTACATCAGCATCACTGGCTCTCACGACGAAACGTTGCGGCTGACATTAAATGGTTCACTATGTTAATTAAACGCATGAGTGGTATTACATTTATTTGGTGATGATGGTTCGCAGTGCAGGGATTTCTATAGGAAGTGAGATGTCAGGAGGAGTTGAGCAAGTACTAGTTGAAGACGTCTATATTTGGGGTTCAAGACGAGGCATTCGCATCAAAACATCCCCAGGGCGCGGGGGGTACGTGAAAAACATATTGTACAAGAACTTGACGCTGATTGATGTTAGGGTGGGGATTGTGGTCAAGACCGACTACGGTGAGCATCCAGACTTAGATTTTGACCCTAAAGCTCTCCCTGTTGTTGCCAACATTTCTTTTGATGGCGTCTACGGAAGCTCAGTGCGTTACCCCGTGCGAATGTTCGGCAGCAAGGAAGTGCCTATCACAGGGATCGACATACGCAATATGAATGTGGGACTGACAAGGAAGAAGAGGAACGTATTCACATGCGACTTTCTTCAGGGGAGAGTAGTGGGTAAGGTGTTTCCAAGCCCTTGCAAAGCCTTGATTCGGGAAGAGGCGTCGCAGACTGCAACTGGTATTTCCACTACATTCGAGTAGAACCTTAACAGAGATCATTGCCGAGGAAACTATTTGGGCTATACGCAGAGTTTTGGCCACGGGCAGCAATTGCAATATTATCAATCCGATGAATCTTTACATGAAATTTGGTGCAAGTTTTTGACAACCATTTGTGTACTCTCATAGCGTCACTTAGCAGTTGTCTTCTCTTGGAGATTGTTTGGGTATTCTCAGAGCATTATATGTTTTACAATATGAACCTCGATTGTCAGCCGGTGAGGAAGGGTGATAAAGTGTTCAAATTGCAGCTTAATGGACAGGATATGAATTCCACTGCATTGATTCTGTACTGGTTCTATCTGTGTCTCTTATGTCCCTCAGTTGGGTGAACAGTTATACATCATAGCTCGAAGGCCGCTGCAGTTGCATTGATATGGAAGTAAAAGCTGCATTGGATACAGCCAAACTTGTTTGTATGGCTTGAAGAAATCATGCAACTCGTAGTTTAGCTAGCTACATAACTGCTGTTACGTTCATTGACCTTCAGGTTCTTTTGAATTCTTTCCCAACACTTCACCGTCCTCCTCTCTGCCTGCAGAAATAGAGTACTCCATAGCGAGAGTACTTCCGCATACAACGCAGACAGTAAACTAAAATTAATCAACGTGGTTTTAATGTGGTGTCAGTTCAACGCAAATAACAGACTCCAGATGGGGTTCAGCTAAAAACAGATCTGAGCAACCGAATTACTGCATGATTCCATCACGCCCAATGTATGGAGTGAGATATATATATATATATATATATATAGGAGCCTCCGGCAAACAAACATTCCGAAGCCGAGAAATATCACTCAAAAGGAGGGGGAGAACGAAAAAAAAGTGATTTTGTTGGCAATCTGTGAGTTCACATGGTAAGGATCTTCACATGATTTTCTTTTGAGGGTGACCTGTAATGAATTCAAAAGGCATCTTACCCAATTTCGGAAAAAGAATTATTGTTCTTTTATAACGAATTCCGGATACCCCTGTAAACTGCTGCTGTATCTCCTGCAAAGAACACATTCTCGTCTTTTTAAGGATAGCTTCACCGTCAATGTCTATTTCCTTGGTCTGAAAAATCCACTGTGAAGGTTCTATAGGATGAGGACATTCTTTTCTACCTTCGACAACTCCCAAAAGCACTTGAACTCTCTTGGCATACTGGTGTGGAATGAGGCACTGAAATAGAATATCCATATGCCAAGTGGCGATTGATTGGATAACTTCGCTCACATGCTGTTTATTCTTTGAATTGAAGTCTGAAAGAGGGATGGGTGCAAAAGATATATATATATATATATATATATATATTATATATATATATATAATAAATGATATGTATCATAACATGGGACTTGAATGACTTCTATGAGATTCATGCTTTACAAATCAAAAACTTAGAGACATTGGAATTTGATGAATGAAAGCTTTACACATGAACACTCTTCAATAATTAGCAGTTGAATATTTTTTGAATAATTAGCAGTTGAATATTTAGTTACCTAACTTAACACATCATGAACCAAAGTAAACGGATTCACAAGACCTACAACATACACAATTAATACTTAGTTTTAAAAAAACCTGGATGTTTTTATGCATGTAAGAGGAACAGGGGGATGGAAATAATGCTCAATGAAAATAAAATAAATTTTGCAAATGAAAAAAGAATCTTGTGTGCTTTGTAAAAATAAATACCCCTAATTCTCTACATTTAAATCATGTTCATCAACATATGTTCCTTAAAATGAACGTTTTTTTTCAAATTATATTACAATCACGAATGATCATTCTTTCTTCTTTCAAAACTGAAAACCTATAACCTACCTTGAAAAAATATTCACATCATGCTAATAATAGTTAAATACTAATAATAAGTATAATAATAAAAAATAATATTTTTTTGGTTTTTCAGAATCTATTACATCATCATCATTATATATATATATATATATATATATATATGTGTGTGTGTGTGTGTATATAATAACCTAGATGTAAACTATTCAAACTTAGATAATATGTATGGTTATTTTTGGAAATCCACTATATTTTTTGCATAAACCGTAGATGATGTTCTATAACTTCATGTCTTAGCCTTTATGCATGTCAGTAAACCAGTTATTCTTCTTAAAGGACTATTTGAAAGTACAAGAATATTGAAGATTCAAAGAAGAGTATGTAATGGTTCATTTGTTTCCAGCTTTAATACATAACATCATCTATAATTAAATCAAACACATTGAATAGTAAAATTTGGAATCCTGGTTGCATTCACAATGAATACCTCAAGGTTTACCCATTTCAACCATCAAGTCAAACTGAACATGTATCTATGCAAATGCAATCTTCATTTATATATTTTAATGTATGTGAAGCATTATATATTTGAACAAAAGCATTCATCACACCAAGATTTGATGTGTTGGAAATGAAAGACAATTCATGGATAAAGAACTGTAGAAGGAAAAATGCTTTTAAATTGTACCAGACCTTTTCATGTAGAATCTTCTTAAGAATAAATATAATGTAGGTATTTACTCTGAAAAAATAATCAAAACAAAACAAAACAAAACAAACAAACATTTCCAGTAGACCCTTCAGTTCAATATAATATTTGGATGGTCATCTCTTTCACAATACTACTCAATTTGATTTACAACAACACAATTATTAGCTGAGCTAATCTGAAAATATCATTTATGACAAATTAGTAAAAGTGCAGATTAAATCTTTGGTTCTAAAAGTCAAAACTATTACACTTCTGCCTACTCTATTTTTTCATAATTAAATCAAAAAATGATATCAATTATAATAATGTTATTTCATGGTTTGTAATGAACAATAAAATCCAAATGCATTTATTATGCATTAAGAGTAACCCACATGTAGTCCAAGATTGTGAAGCATCTTAGAAATATCTACAGAAGCATTAACTTGAAGGATCTCTCTGTCTTCTTTACAAAATTATTCTTTAATTATATTATATTTATGCATAGCAAATGAGAGGACCAAAACCTTCCAAGAGACATGATACATGTTTGCATGAAAGTCTTTGATAATGTTTGATATTACATTCAAGTGCTCTCACGTCAAAAAGCTGTGCATAAATTTATTTATTTATTTTATATTGTTGATATCTTCTTCACAATATACATGAGTCTGCATTAAATTGATGTCTACCATGGATCATGATTCAAAATCAGTAGTAAATGTACATTCTCTATGAGAACGGTGTGCAATAAATATCATAATCAAAGACAAGATTTTATAATCTCAAGAGTGTAACATAATAGTTGGTTTCATTTGAAATACACAACAAGTGGATTTTGTACTAAATTGCATAAACAATTGATGCCACACAGATCTATCTATCTCACCACCACTGGAACCCATAACTTCTTCAAAACCTCTAACAAAAATGAACATGTTGTGACAACATTCTGACAAGAATGCATGTGTCAAATCCCAAAACATTATACATCATAGTCATGCAATAATAAATGCTTAAAATTGTACAAATTTCTATCTTCTGTTTATTTTTGTTTGTTGCTTTTTGTGCTATTTATTTTTAACATCATATCTGAGAAAATTGCATGCTAAGATTATCAATGGATTTAGAATTCAAAATAAAATACCAATTTCCTGGTACAAATCAAACTTTGATAAGGTTTACATCAAAGAACTTCTATAATATTTTTTTAAAATGTTGCATGTCTGTATGTGAGTATTTTTACAAATACATACTTATCTATATATGTATTTATACACACATGCACATTAAATGGCTGAATTTTTGACTAGATGTATTAGTTCATGATTTAAATACATTCATCAAACTGTGCATTTTTTTTCTTCAGTGAAGAAATGTATCACATATAGAAATACAACCACAAAACTTGAAGGTACACTGTGCAGTCTACAATGTTGCAATGCACACAAAAGGGTGACCTATGAAAGATCTAATTTAAGTGTGAATACTGTAGCATGAATTCATGGAGTACAGTTGCAGGACTATCAGCCACATGGAATCTCATGCTCCAGATGTAAAAATTATAAAAATTGTTGGCCAAGTGGCACTGCCTTGTGGGGGCAGGGCATCCCACATTCCTTTTAAATAAGTCCACTGGGATCATTTCTATGAAGCCTTTACTGATCCATAAGAGAACATAAAAGGGGGAGAAAAATGCTTGGAGAATGTTATAAATAAGTTGAGCATGGGATGTGTATCATAACCAACAAACTATATATATAATTTTCATGCTTATAAATATTCAAGAGTAAAACCTGTTTATTTTTCAAAGAGTATTTTGAATATATTTGTTCATGGAGGGAAACATTTTCACAGTCACACATTCACCAATTTTAAATGCTTATTTTAGGAAATTTCCGGGAGTGTCAATAACAACCTCAATAAATGCCCAACCAACAGAAGAAATAAGTAGTATTTTAAAGAGTGTTTCACCAAGTTGTATTTTTCCTTTGATGTCCTCTTTCAAAATACTAATATTTTGGGTTTTGAAAATTAGGAATAATTGATTAATTCAGTAGTTTTGCAATTTTAAAATATGTCAAAGAAAAAATAATTTTGAAGAAGAAATTTGCCAACACAAATAAACAAACAAACAAAAAAACCACATATTTGGTTTTAGAGATTTCTTTAAATACTCATTCTTTTTAAGTTTATAACCAAAAAATTTCAATCTAGTTAACATAAAAAATGTGTATATGTTTGTGTGTATATACATGGTAATTGTTCTTTGGTGAGAAAAAAAATTATGTGCCAAAATTTAATCAAAACTTTTGGAAGCTTAAAAAATGTACAATTGTTGTAAGAGCTTGTTCTATAATCAAGCACAGTCTATAAGTTGAAACCAGGTTTTGAACTAGAATAAAATTTCTTAAAGTGACTGTAACATTTTACCACTCATTCTTAATCACTATTCCTGTTTATAATCCCTTCAAAACATGGATGGTCAATGATTTTTGTCATTTTATTATTTATTATTCAAAGATATATTACTTTTTCTTTTTTGTACAATTGTATACATAATAATAATGTTATTGATAATATAATTAAACTTATTTATCATTTTTTATTTTTTTTAATTTCAGAGGTACTGCACCTGCATATCATGTGCAAATATGAGACCATTGTATCCAACTAAATAACAGCAATGTTTCAAAAAACAATTGAGGAAAACACATCAATTAACTAATATATATATATATATATATATATATATGAGACAAAGTTTTCAGTCATGGCATGACACGGAGCCCTTGCCTCTTCTAAAAATAGAAGTTAAGTAAATAGTAATGATAAAATGTAATACACACACATATATATATATATATATATATATTTTACCACTGGAGGATAACCACTAACAACAAGTTGCAAGACCAAGATGAATGAAGATATATATATATATATATATATATAAATTTTAAGAATAAATGAATGAAGGGATGGATGTGAGACTTGCTTCTTCTTCTAATTGGGTAACATTTCCTAGTATTGAGGTCCTCCATCCTCTTGCATTCCTCATGGCTATGGTGATGGAAGTGCAAAAGCTTCTTCCATCAAAATCTTGTGCAATTATGTGGGACACACGTTGTAGACAATAAGATAAGAAAGAAAACACACATAAAGAATGGGGCAATTGAAAGCAATGTTTGGAACTTTTGACTTTTTTGAATCAAATTTACACGTACTAGCTTTTTGCACATGGTAAAAGTAATTTGATATCTTTTGTGTATTTTTTTAAAGTATTATTTTGGCCTTGTTGAGATTGCGCATTTGCACACATAGCAACGTGGAAGTGAGTTTGTACAATTCTGTTTGCATGCTTTAACTATAAGATTTCTTTTTTATTTGATTTTAATATATTATGTTAGAGGAAAATTATTGAATGAAGAGGTTATAAAATATGAAGTAAGTTATTCATTAATATTCACAAATGTATACTATGTATGTGTGTTGTATTTTATATTATTATTATTATTATTAATTATAATTCAATAAAAATATGCTTATGGATACATTACTCGCTAAAAACATTCTCAAGCTGTACCTAGTACTGATATTTAGTTCATTATCATGTCCTTGTGGTAATTTATGAAAGAATTTATCCTAGAATGCAAATTTAATGTTGAATGTGCATGAAAGGTTTGTGATTTCTCAAAATTTACTTAGAATCACAAACCAAAAATTATAATTAATGAAAATAAATTATTTTTTAAATCTATGTCTTCTAATATACATGTGTATACATACATACATACATACATACATACATACATACATATTGAAATTATATCACTACAATATCAGAAATTCAATCATTTTAAATATACAAATGATAAACATTTAGGGCTCAACAATCACATAGTTTACTAAATAGTCTCCTTTTCTTATAATTTCAGAAAAGAATTATAATAATGGCTTCCATATTCTAAACTGTTGTTCTACCACTAGAAAAGTACTTCAGTCTAAAATGAAAATTAAGAAATTGAAAGCATACCACATCAGAAAATAATTTTTTGAAATCAAATTCACATTCAGTTTGTATTTTCAGAAAGAGAATTCTCGCACTATTTTTAAGTTTTTGAACAATCTCAATGGGGAAATGCATGGATAGCATTAAAGTAAATAACATAAATTATCACTATTGGGGTTCAAGCAAAAATTCACCTCAAAACTATCAATTGCAAACTCTGTTAAAGACTTACTTATTTGTTAGCTTTTTGTATTGATAAGTAACTGTAACCTTGAAAGTACAATATCTTAGTAAAGAATAGCAGAAAGCCCACTTAAAAAGAAAACTTATACACGGTCCAGGACACTGTTATGCTAGTTTATTTCTAAAGGAATAGAGTTGGTAAACAATCAAACCGTAGTATATTCAATACCTCGTCTGATCATCAAACTCATCGAAACAATTTATCATATATCCACACACTCATCCTATCCAATAAGTCAAAAATTTAAATTAAATTAAACAAATAAATAAGGCTATGATTTCACCTCTAATAAATAGAAAACCTTACAAGTCGACCAAAGACATTCCATGGATTTTAACAAATAGGTGTCGGGTTCAAAAATGCCACGTCACCACCACTTTATTTTAATTTTTCAGACTCGCTTTTGTTTCACCAAGTGCCACGTCATCTTCCATCTATTTCCGGGAGTTTGCAAGGCTGAGTGCCAACTCAGCAATTTGCACGTCCCCTCAATGGATTACTGCCAATGGGTTACTGCCACGTGTAATATATTTTTATCGCAGTGTTTTGGGTGGGGGGGGGGTGTTGTGAGAGTGTTCCTTGAGGGGGTTGAAGGGTTAACCCCCCCCCCCCCATTATGGATGATGTTGGTTTTGAGTTGTTGATCTTTGTGTTGTGCCATGTGGCGAGGAGGCCCCTTGTCATCTTACATCTAGGGGCTCATTGTTAGCAAGGTGGTTATATTTATATTTGCTACCTATGTGACCAGGAGCTCCATACATGAATATTTGTTTGCAGGGTCTGTTGATATCACTGGACTTCTGTTGTTTTTGTATCATTCTAACTATGGGTAATTTATTACCTTTTATTTTTTTATGATTTTATTATTACTTTTTGAATTGGATTGAAGTGATTGAATGTTGTAGAATTTGGTTCCTTTTTTCTAATAGTAAAGCATGACTTGATTTGGAAAGAGGGAGACAGCAAATTACTATGAGATCTGGTGACGGTAGATAAAAAAAGACATTAAAAAATGTTCAGGTGAGTCGAAAGTGTAAAATGGTTTGGCAAATTTGTTTCTTTATTAATTCATTTGGATAAGTCCATCTGCCTATTCATCCAAGTGAATTTTAAATAAATAAATTCATGAAATATACCAAAAGTCATATTTCAAAAGTAGATAAAAATCATACTCGAGATACCTTTATTTTTCTAGAAAATGTACTTTCAATATATATATTGAAAGTACTATAAATATACATAACTTATATTTATATGACCAAGGGATCCATGTAGTAAAGACTATTGATTAACGAAATTTAATAATATTAAATTGTTGCTATGTCATTTATAATTTGTATAAATACTCATCTTGTTAGGATAACTAGAGTTTTTAAAAAACGACATAACTACTTTCATGTCCTATAATAGTCAACCTTCAACAAATGTTAACCCCTATAAATATACATAACTTCTATAAAAGTCATATTTTTCCGTTTGAGTTTTTCCAAGAGAAATGTTGGTTGTTCTCCTATGATTAATATTTATCGAACCAACAATTATAATTTAGCTGCAATGAATCCCATCAAGAGGCAGTTCGGAACATAAAAACATATTGACAAAACGTTTCAACGATACATAATTAAAATGATCAACAACATTGCTTTACTCTTATCACCATAAGTTTCATCAATGCCACCAATGTTTCTCAAAATATAGCGTTAACACAACATTAAAGAAATAGTGGAGTCCACCAAAGATTTGTTTCTAATGGCGTATAGTTGAACAGTCTATTTTCATATTGTCAGTATCATTCGATCAAACTTTCCAGAGTCTTCTATATTTTCATGAGGCAAAATTAAAAACATTAAATTCAATGCTTCTAGTTTGTATTGGTTCGATCGTTTGAATGTGTAAGAGTGTCTATATACACAATAAATTATGGAAGTTGAAGTTATGAGCAATTCATTCAACTGGACTGAAAAATACATGAACTGTTTTACAAACTAGTGGGTTACAATGAAAAAACAGGCTCATGCTGCAAATACTATAACCTCAAGTCAGGTATTGCACATAGCTAAACACGGTTAGAAGGCCAGTTTTGCAGTCCAGCAGATTACACTAACCCAAAATAGAAAGTTAACTGTAAAACTATTTTAATTTAGCGGTGAGAAAATAGACGTAGATAGTGCTGCAGAAACGGAAAGTGCAGGATCGATGAGGTGCGATTAGTGGAGAAGCGGGCGAGCGAGGCTTGATTCGCGTTGAAGCGATTGGATGGAACTTGTGGAGGCAAGGGATTGGGCGGCGAAGCGCAGAGACGAGGGGGCAGGAGTACGTGACCTCGGCTGGGCAAGGCAACAACACGGCCTGGATCGCCTGGAATTGAATGCGATGCTCCTCGCGCACGTCTGCTGCTGCAACGACTTTCTAGATGGCCCAACACCTTTTAATAGTCCGACTCCCACAACCTTCGCAGCGTAATCCGCCATTCTCCTCCGGGCCCGACCACAGCCTGCGTCTTGATTCTTGAGCCTCCCCTTCCCCCCCCTCCAACTTCGGGGGTCGTGACCGATCCCCTCGCAGCTTCTTTGCGATGCTGCACTCGTGAACTGAGCCCTTCCCAGCACCTTGCCGGTGCTGTACCAGCACAGGAAGGCATCTCTGTCGATCGTCATGGTTTGCAGCGACGTAGTGGTTTCCACAGGGGTGACGCTGTTCTGGTGGAGCCTACCACAAAGGTGATCGATCGTCCACCGCCCACCTACAATCGGCTGTTGTGATGAAGGTGGTGGACTTCAATTAGACGCGGTTAAATAGTGTGCACTGCTTTACTGGAGAACCGTGAGGTAGAAGATTCCAGCTGTGTCGATCCTTCTTGTCGGTCTGTGACTTGTGAGTTTCGGTCTGGGGTGGCGTAGATCAGTTGTCTTTCGGGCTGATATCGTTTGGGCAACTGTGGAGCGTCACCGCAGTTGTTGTCTGTGTGGCCCAGTGAATGTTTCTGTGGGTTCGTAGTTCTCGAACAACAGGACCACCAAAGTAGTTCTTAGCGTTGGGATTGTGTTAATTAATGTATAGCTTTTCTCCGCGCTGCAGTGCACAGGGAAGAGAAGATGAGTGAGTATGTTTCTGAAAATCAGGCTTTTCTCTGGAGAATCTGCATATAGTGATCATCACGTGGGATTAACCAACATTTTAAAGCAAAATACAGTTCCTTTGTTGGTGTCTACCATTTTCTGGGGAGAAAATTTTGAGTTGGTAGTGTTCACAATTTGTAGTCATTGAGATCTTTGAAATTGGTAGTCCTAGCTAGCTTGTTAACAGGACTCATGTAAGCATTCTATTACCCTGATCAGATCAGTCATTGAGACACTGCGTGCAAGAGTGTAGGTTTAGAGTCTTCTGTAATGCGGAGCAGCAGCAGCGTCACATACTGCGTGAGATCTATTGGATTTCTTTCAGGTAGGGATGTGAAGTAACCAGCCAGTGGCAGATTAACGGAACTCGATTTATCGCTATTGGCGCGCTGCATTTTCTCATAATGATTCTAGATTCAAGAGCTACGATCGTAACATGTTATAGGTGCGTTCAAAAGGCTGTTTCCAGCCTCAAACTTTTATTGTGCGTCAAGATTTGCAACGGATGTCCCATGTCAACTTTCTTCTAGTCTGTTTAGAGCTAAAACAAGGTGAGAGTCACTTTGCACAGAATGAAGCATCACATCATCACTACGTCCAAATAAATATTAAGCAGGGGTTGCTAGAAACAGACGGTAGAGTGGCAAGATGTATCCAGAATGCAGAAAAAGTCAAATTCGGGGCATAAACGATGTGCAGGGAACTAAAAATTAACTTGTCTTCGTTGATCTGGGATTGCTCAATTATGTTGCTAGAGATCAAAAACTTTTAGCTTTTGATGCACACACATGCTGCGTAACTTTAGCTTAAGACGTGCTTCATGTATGCAAGCCTTTAGGCCAGACAGGCGGGAGAATTGTTGCTGGTATTGTTACTTGGGTATGCCAAAGTAATCTTGTAGGTTTTCTTCTAAATAGTCGTACTGAAAGGATCGCTCATGCCTATCGACTGTACTATTGTTGTGTCAATTTTTACTTAAACCTGGAATCCAGCTTATCATACCATTAACAACGAGGCAACCTACTTAGTTTTAGAACTCAAAATACGTGTGGATCATGGGAAGCGGAACATTTAAAGTATGTGAAGCGCTGCAAAAGAATCAAACAACCATCTGGACCCACAATTAGTGGCTAGTTTAAAGTCCGTTCAGAGACGAACTCGTACATGGATTTCTTAGATTTCTTCTCTACATCCACTTTGAGGTGCTGACTCTGTCTAACGAATATGTTATGTGACACAGGTTTGAGAAGACCTGAAAAAAGTGAACAATTACTGCAGTCATCCGTGAAAGGAGACACGGCGCAATGACCGATCTAAATTCGAGCTTGGAGTCGCCAGGGTCGTCAGTGGAAGAGACCCCAGCTGCTGCGAATTCCGTGGCTACGTCTTGCGAGGCTATGATGTGGGAGGCGTGGAGTACACAACCATCCACTGGAGATGAAGCTTCCACCAGCAAATTAGATCTGCTCCCAGAGCTCGTGTCGTCCTCCAACTCTCGCCTCTCCTTTCAGCAGTCTGATTTGCTCTCTAACATGCTGTCGAGCTTCCACCCTCTTTCTCAGCATAGCTCGGCCGGTTTCGAACTTTCTCATAACCGAGGCGGCAGCGAGCATTCCCCGGAGTTCTTGCAGGAAGGCAGCTCCGAGGCCGACACTGAAACCTCATCTTTCGGAGACTTGTACATAAATCGACAGACCTCCAGAAATTCCTTTCTAGGCAGCATTGCGTGCCCCTTGCCAAGCAACCACTCCGATTCCGGAAAGAATATTAGACGAGAGGACCTATCTAACCAACTGGGTGCGAAATCTTCAGCACCCCTTCAGTTGTGGCAATCTCTTGGACCCGAGTCGCCTTCCTCTCCTCTCGCTTATCATAACATTGGGTATCGACACTCTCACGGAGAAAAATGGGAGACTGGGAGCCAGTCGCACTCACCATGGCCAACAGTCAGTAACACGTCGTCAACTATTCAACTGCTAGGAGGACGCGCAGCAGAGAATGAGGTGATCCAGGTCCTCAAGAGTAATGACTCGGAGATATCCAAATCACTGGCGACTCTCCAACAATATGGCGATCATGGGCGACAACTCAATTTAAATCACTCTAGCACAACCAACCATCCAGAAGTGATTTACTCGTCCAAATTCGGACCCAAGCCAAGCGCCTCCAGTCACACCGATGTTTTAATGAGTTCCACGAACAGCAGTTTTCTGTCAATCCCCACTGCTTGGTCGACACCCGAGTATTCAATGTCCGGACCAAGCACCAGGTCCGAACAGTTTATGAACTTCGTCCGAATAGCTCAAGAGCAAAATTCGGTGCCGATCTCCGGGCCGTCCCCCATTCTTGGTAGCTACGTAGGTTGCAGTAACAGATCCAAGTCTGGAATCTCAAGAGTTGTCTCCCAAGAAACTCCAACAGCAAAGAACCGCCTCCTTGCTTGTGAAGGATCCAGTGGTCCAGCTCCTAAGCGACCCAGTTATGCTGCCCACAGCGATTCTCATGCCGATCAAGCAGCTGCAATGTGGAGTAGCCCTAATCTAAGGAGGTCCAGCTTCCCTTCAATTCTGACATCCCAGGCAATGGAGATTTACGCAATTGGTCCCGCTCTGAACACCAATGGCAAACCGCGAGCACGACGTGGTTCAGCGACTGATCCGCAGAGTGTATATGCCAGGGTAAGCCACAAGATATCACTCATTCGTCAATCTTTTTAAACTTAGTGTTTACAAATGTGTGTTCGATTAATGTCTGATTGAGTGAAAGGTGGTAGCCGCCTTTGTCTGGATCCTTGTAGTTTCTGACTCGTTCTAGCCACACACTGTCTCAATTGGTCGGTTAACTGATGTTTCTGTATTGCTCAATGAGCTTGGTGTAAGTGCAGCATAGAAGGGAGAAGATCAACGAGCGCTTGAAGACATTACAGCACTTGGTACCAAATGGAGCTAAGGTAATACACATTAAAAATCGCCGAGGCTCACTTGGAACTTCATAGCCAGGCCTTCATTGAAACTGAATGCAAGATTAGAGGGTTAGATTCTGAAGAATCAATGCTGGTGAACTGGTCAGTGTTTTCGAACTCTAATCACTTGCTTAAATTTTCCGTTTCAAACAGGTAGACATCGTGACCATGCTTGACGAAGCCATTCACTACGTCCAATTTCTGCAGCTCCAAGTGACGGTATTTCCATTGGCATTACATTGCATTAGCAAATCATGATACTGCTTCTTGTGGAGAATGTAGAGAGTTTAATATTTGAGAATCTGAAGACTAACTTTGACTTCTGAATTGATCTTTCAGCTGTTGAAGTCGGATGAATATTGGATGTACGCCACTCCGAATACATACAAGGGCATCGACCTTACAAATTCCCCTCCTCAAACACAGAGACTGCAGTCCAGTGCGTAGGACAGACGATCGACCTGTTGGAGTCGAAGATGCCTATTGCAGACAGAGAAGATTAAATTTGAAGCAGGGAAAATGCAGACATAAATTGGTCTCTTCCAGCCAACATTATTAACCAGGATAAATCCTGCATGTAGCTTGCCGGTGACTCATAACCCATCTGCCCCGTTTTGATTGCTTCAGCTCATTTCCATTTCAGACCATTTTTGACAAGAGGTATTGATAAGAGCTGAAGGCATCAAAACTGAAATTGAGCAGTAGTCATTGTACAAATTCAAAAATCACTTTAATAATATGAGTTTGAGATACTTGACTTGATTGCAGTACTCTTGCGATAATACGAGTGAATAATTAGCCAGTTCAGAAATCAGTATGAAGCTGGTCATGCACACAAGAAGGCAACTGATGAATTTGGCCAACATCTTTACTACAAAGGCGGAATTCTCAGCCATTCATTGATGCATCGTAGTCCACTCTAGTTTCAATTTCTGAATATGGATGAGGAAAAAATAGTGTTTTTGGTTCGAAATGAGATCATGAACTTCACGTTCCTGCAATAACTGCAACCCACCTTGAGCTCTCATTGGGAGTAAAGGTGCTCTGATTTTCAACCTAGTGCATTCAAATAGTCAGCGATTCTATTACTCTCTCCTCACCCATCTAATTCATTTAAAGTAGATATCTGTTTAATCCGAGTGACAATCTACAATCTTTGACAACTCCTAGCTCATTTCGACTATTCTGTACTCACCACCATGCAGACGGACCACGTTTCTGTTGAGTAACTGGAACTCTGTTATCTAGAAAGAGTGTCAGAAAAATGAAATAAAATAAAATAAAAATCACCAAATGGAGAGCAGATTCTGTTGAGCACCATGTTGTTCAGCCTTAAAAATGAACACATAAAACTAAGAAGGAGAGGGTAATCCGCAATAGAATTCCTTGCCCCTCAAATCATGTCACATTATTGCTCTATAAGTATTCATCCTAGGAGAATGCCAATGACAATTAGTGGAAACTAAGGACTGGACTGGAAGGGGTTTTGAGCAGCAACATTACAAGGTTGGAATTACGTGTGCAGTATGGAGCTTGTATCGCTGTCAAGCTGCTGGAAATAGAATGGTCTAGAATTTGACAAGAATAGGGATAATGCCTCTATCGACACATTATGGAAGCCGATTTTATCGATGTGCCAGGGATTAGATGAGCCAATAGCTGTCTTCATCATCCACATGAGCAACAGAAGCGCTGCCATTACCACGTGGAACTTTGCTAAAAATCCTGAAATTTTTACTGCACTTTCGTAACCAGTTCAATAAGAAGTCACACTGTAATCTGACGCTACTTACACTTCCCTCATGATTCATTATCCCTGGATGTTAAGTTTCGCTGAAAAATATTTTATCCTCAGGTGGTCATCAACGACCAGTATCGATAGAGCTAAGTCCGTTTTGAGAGCACTTTACCAACGATCGATAGAAGAATCGGGACGCAAGCATGAAATTGAACTGGACGATAACTGCCCAGATTGGTTGCTACTACTCCGAGCACCTTTTTCTGTCAAGGTGGTGTCTACTGAAGCAGTACCCCGGCATTCTGCTAGCATGCTCATCAGCCCCTTAAGCTCCACGATTCTCAGCCATCACCCCAGGTGATTTTTCTGTAGTTTTTTGACGGTGCCCAGTGAATTTGGTTTATTTCACCAAAAGCGAGGTAAGAGTGATAGACGCCCACCTGCAAGAGTATTGTCGAACCCTTTCTGCGGGAAGTTAGGGCAGTTATTCTAACTGCGAGACGTGCTCAAATTTTACATTGTTCATGAAAGACAATGGACCTTACCTATCATTAACAATTGGAATAATAATAATAATAATAATAATAAATAAATAAATAAAAACGTAACTGAATGAAGTAGAACCTATTCGGAGGTTTCTAATGGAACGCGTACTAAACAATACATCCTGTGTCAGAGACTGGAAGTTGTTCTACACGAAAACTAACCCAGTCAGCTGAAGCAATAATTGATGCCAGTATTATCATCCTCATTACAGCTTTTTGGCAACTGCATGTTGAAAGCCTCCCTTTGAGAAGGATGGAGGAAACGAAACCACGCCGAGTTAACCAGCGAATTGGACACGTCAGTTCCGCAAAACTGAGGATGGTTTACACACGATGCTGCCACTCTGAAGCAAGTTTTGTAGTCATTTTTACTTGTGTGGATACACTTCATACTTCGTTGGCAAACACCTATGAAACTACTAGTTCTAGTAGCAACTGCGAGACCCCACATCATCAGGTAACGAAGAGGTGGGCGTGACGTTCAGAGCAACACGGGACGGATATATTCAGATTTGCGAGAATTTCAAAAAAGAACTGCAGTTGGAAGTTCGGAGTGGTTTTCGGTAACATGAGCGCTACCTCCCAATTAGTAGCCAGAGAATTAGACTGCATATACAAATCAGGACAAGGAATTTTGACGCATGGCAAACTTGAAGGCCAAGCTTAAATGATATTGTGAAGATGCTGCGTGAGCCTTGACCACATCAAGGCGAGTCCCAACAGGTGCCATTGTCGGTACTATCACCACTGGATTCAATTGTCCTGCTCCAAAGAATTGGGAATAACGCACCTAAACATTTTCTCGCACGAAAACTATCATAGTTGGCCCTTGTTTCCAACGTGGACAAGACAAGCAGTCATGCAACGATTCAGTCCCTAAAAATAAGGCATTTGTGTCGGAGAAATCCATCTCATTGGTGCTGATGTTATAGGACTGAAACTTGCAGTCTTGGATATTGTGGGTGAAGATCGTGGTGGACAAGAAGTTTTGGTATCACAGCCACAATTCGTTTGAACGCTTGGGTTTGGCATGAAGGTGTGGGAAACAAGGCTGTGATTGTTGTACATTGTAATGGTGATTGGAGCAAGTAGGTGATTCTGTCGCAATCAAAATCCAGCTAAGTTAGGTCTCAAGTTCTTAGGGTATCTCTTAGGGTTTGGAATGTTGATTTAGATGAAATGTATTAGAGGTGGTAGTACTTTGTGAGAGGATCACACCTCCCTGATCGGTTAAATGATAAACAATGGAATTATTGTAGATGTGAATGAATGGGTATAACAAACAAACAATGATTCACACAAAAAGAGCACACATGGAGACTGATTGGTTATACTTAACAAAACTAATCTCTAATGATTTTTTTCTTGAATCCATATGAAGTTCTTCCAAAAATTTATTGAAAATAACACTTGAAGAAGTTGAGATGAATCAATAGGTAATGCCTAGAGAAGTTGAATTTCTATTAAAATACATTATAATTACTTGTTTTGTAGGGTAGACAAAAAATCCAATATAAAATAGTTCACACATTTGTTTAGTTGAATTAAAAAATTCATTGAAGATTATATCATTTTTGGCAAAAAAATTGATAAATCTATATAATTTTTTTTGTTCTAATTTCTAAATTATATTTCTTTTGATCTTTATTTCTATTAAACTTAAAATCTAAATTTTAATTCCAATGTTATATAGGATTTAAAAAATGACAATGGTATTAGAATTATCAAAATAATTAATTGGATCATTTTAAAGGATGTATTAGACAAATTCCTCAAAATTACTTTGTTAATATCAATTAATTTAGAATATATTTTAGAAACTAGTTAAAATAGTAATAAATATAAAGTTTTTGATAGTCTTTTATTAGAATTTTAAAATAATTAAGAATAAGAATTATAAATTAATAATCTAATTACTAATAAAAATAAACAATATCTATTGGCTACAATTATCTTCTAATTAAGTATTATTTTTTATAAAAAAACAAATCAAAATATCAAAGACTACAAATTCTTTTTAAATTTAAAATAAAAAAGTTATAACCATTAAAAAAATTGATATACAAGTTTTATCAATTAAAATAAGAAAAATGATAGATATTTATGATGCATAAGAGATATAATTTCTACTAAAATTACATACATACAAAAAATATAACCAAACCATAAATTTTTTATAATAGTATAAATAAATAAATAAATAAATAAATAAATAGAATAAGACTATCTTATAGTAGTATAAACAAAATAAGGTAGAAAATAAGCCAATTTAATATATATATTTCACAATATTTCGAAATTACAAGATACATAAATAGATGATGATTTTAGAAAAAAAATTCTAAGTATATTCTTTCAATTAAAAGAATTTCAAATCTTCTTTAGTAAAGAATGCAAAGTTGATACTTAATTTTAATTAATAATAGGACATAATACCATCTTTATTTAGGAAGTATTAATAAAACTTAATGAAGTTATGACTATTGTTGAAAGAAACAAAGTTCTAAATAAATATTTTTAACTACAAATACAAAAAATTTAGAAATTATGAATAACTCTTTGTTACATTGGATTTAATTACAAGAAATTTTCAACATATTTTAGTTAGACAAAACCATGTGAATTGGTCCACAAAAAAAATACTAGAAGTTGAAAAAAAACATGATTATTAGATAATACTCAATTCTTCTATAGATCAGCATAATAATCCATGAAGTGATAGTTATATAATGTATTTTCGAATTAGTTCTATATGTGAATTTGTATCATGAGCATACACATTTACATAGACGAAAGGAGTTAGATAGAAGTAAATAGAATTAAATAAATTTGATAATATCTTATGGACTTGCTTCTTAGAAGCTTCACAAACATGGAATTAAATTTATATATATTTGTAGGTAAAACTTGGCCAAGTATTGTATATGTTTGTGATTTACATTTCAAATTGGTTATGTGGAGCATATATAAGAAATTTGATTTGAAATTTGAACATGTATTGGAGGTCTTAAAGAATGTTGCTATGTAATTCACAGTTATACTGTATAAATGGAGTCAAGATAGAGGCCTTCTTTACTCTTATTAATATCTTTTTTAGCCTTAGTTTTGTTTCAAGTGTTTCTAATTTTCTTATCTTAAGCAATAGCTATTTTAATTTTTAAAATTATATTATTTTTGAGTGATTATCTACTCTTTTTTGTGATATAAGACTATATTGACTTTTTGGTTGTTTGTAATTCATATACTAGACATTTGACAAGATTTTTAATTTATTATTCTTATTTTATTTAAAAATAATTAAATTACCTTCTTTTTTTTGTTATGCTTTAAAGGTTGAAATCTACCTATCTTTAAATTAATAAATCTTTAAATTTACCTATCTTTTTATTTTTTGACATTGATTCTTTCTTAAAGACAATAGATTATATCTTTTGTGAATTTTTTTATTTGATATTAGAAGTTGCATATTATCACGGACACATAAATA